TCCACAGTAGGTTGCACCTCATTTGTCTATAGGATAGAGCAACAAATTGAACTCAACCGACCTTTTCGGATATAACAGACATCTAAGACTGGCCACAAGTGTTGTAGTCCGTCGCTGTACCTGCTGGATAGCATCACTGTTTTTCTTCATCCAGGACATCCATGTCGGCATTCTGTATTCCAAATGCAGTCTGACGAACATACTAAATATCGGCGAGAAGTGTTGTGGAGGACGGCGGAAATACTACAAAAGCGAGCTTAATTCAGTGCATGATGCCGGTTGTCTTTTGGACGGTTCTTTTGTAGTGTTTAAAGTGCAGCGAATTTAAACTTGTCCAGGCTTTTTGCTCGTGTTCATTTTTTTAGTAAAATCTCATTCATCGTGTACCAGCGTTTTAAGAGACACCTCCGACAGATTTAGAGAGCAAGACTACACATTTGGATGCACTAAATGCAAGACGCCAATTGCCAGACAGTGCAGCCAACTTGCCAACGTTTTCTTGCAGGTTATGCGTGTCACCTGCACAGCTGACTTCTTTCCAGGCTTTTATATCATCTGCAAATATGATGACACCGCAGTCAAGATCTACAGTACAGTCGCTGAGATAAACGAGGAAGAGGAGAGGACCCATGAACCAAACCTTGTTGAACACCGCGTTCTACTGGTACCCATTCGGATGCAGTGGTGTCAACAGTCACTCTTTGCAGCCTACTTGACAGGTCACTCTTAATCCACCAAAAATGTTGTCTTGTATTTCCCACTGTCAAATCCTCTGTAGGGGTCGCTCAAGGTTGAAGAAGATGACATCAACTAAACGGCCCTGGTCTGTGACATTTATCAATGTTTCCAGTGAGTAAAGACTACTCGTAAAACATGAGTGACCACGATGAAATCCGTGCTGAACAGGACATATCGAGTTCCTTTGTTCCATTTGCTGCACTAGATGTTCCTTACCAAGTCATTCCATGACCTTGCATAAAATGGGAGTCAAACTAATAAGGCAGCATGTTCCTGCCTCCAATCTGGACTCTTCTTTGTAGATTGGGGAAAAGTCCGTTTTTCATTCCTTCCGTAAGTTGCATTCACCCATGGGTTTTGGAGTATAATAGATACCAGCTCGCACAGTAAGTCAGCCAATCCTCGAAGGGCAAGTGGACGAATTTAATCTGGACCGGGGGATTTGGGAGGTTTCAATCGGAGTACTTCTGTCCTTCTCCATGTGGGCGAGAACCAAAGATAATCTTTTAACGCAAACGGTACAGGATTTTGTTCTGTGTATGAGGTAGAAGGAGGAGGATTATGTTCATGAGTGAATATGGGTTGAGGGAAGCTGAAGAAGACTGATGTTGTTATTTCGTCATCCGTCACCATTACTCCGTTTTGGGGCCTCAGCACCGGAATCGGTTTTACGCCTTTTTTTCTTAATAGCGATCTGTAGTTCCCAGTTTATTCGCGATGGTGGTCGCTCGTTATCTTTCATCTGAATGGACAGATAGGACCAATGACACATTTAACCAACAAACTGAGCTTGCTCCAGTAATCGTAATGCGGTTTTCCACGGCATTGCTGAAACTTGCGTTCGCATACTGGAAATATCGCCCTTCTAGATGTTTGTTTTCAATTGCTCCAATGAGTCAGGTCAGGAGAACATGAAGTACTCAAAAGCACTCCAGTATTATCACTATCACCAATCGGTGGGAGATCTTGTGCCCCGACACCCTATCTCCATTTCGAGTGAGCATCGAGTGAAGACAATTTTAAAGTTGTCCTTCGCCAACACGTGTTTCGATCGCTGCATTCTGGAAAAATAGTTTATCCGCCGCCATTTTGATCAAATAATATCCGGCTGTGTCCAGTGGACCCAAAACCTTCCAAGCCTGCCAGTCGATTTCGAGACTGCTAAAGTCCCCAACAAAACGGACATCTCTGTCTGAGCGGGTCCTGATCAGTTCCATTAGGAGAAGGTTATCGTGTCCGGCAATTCGGTTTGGAGGGCAGTATATAAATGCAAACGCCATTGGCCGGGAGCGTTTAGTGAAAATAGTGAAAAAAATTCCATTTCCGCTCTTTTTTGTGGGATGTTGCTCGGGGACTGCGGTCAAATTGCAGCTGACATAGACATCGACTCCCTCCTCGGCTTTTTCTGTCTCTTCTGAACAGTACATTGCCTTATAAGAGATTACCCATGTTCCCCAAAAGCTTCGGAAAACCATGATTCTGTCAAGGCGATGCTATCTTGTGTGCTCGTTGGCCAAAGTTCTGTGTTAATTCACCTTGTTAACCAGGCTTTATACATTCGAGTGCATCACCGTCAGTGTCCGTATTGTCGGCTACAAATAGCGTTAGACAATGGAACGACAGTATGATCGGTTTTGTCATCCTTCCCCTTACTTTAAGCTCTTCTTACCCTCTTTTGTCGTCGTCTTAACCTCTATCGATAGCCCTTCGATTTTGTGTCTTCTGTCGGTTCGTAATCTGGATGAAAACAACTTCCTATACAAATGAAGAAGAGACGTTTTCCCATCGAGGGGATTTGAAACTTGGACTTCCTTTTCATGAATGAGTTTAGAGGCCCTGATAAGGACAATCCGCGCGGCGCACCTGGGTTTCGTAGACGAAAGGCTTTTCGCACAGTAACATCCTCAATTCTGCAGGGCGGAATTTAAATGTGCCTAAAAGAGGTTGGGATTATGTTCGAGAATTTTTTTTAGAATAGAAGTATTGGACTCAGTAGTTCCCTTTTTGGCGATACTTTGTTTTCGGCCAAGATTTCTGTCTGATGTTTTAGTTTTTTTTAATGAAACTTCGACATCAGGAATAATTGCATTATGGTCGACAATGAATTTTGTATCAGAACTAGTGCCTAAGTTTGTGTATTGAATGCTAAATTCGACCTGGAAACTTCCACGGTCACTGTCCTGTCGCAATTTACTTCACACAGGATTATTTTGCTCGCTTCCATAAGCGGATTTTTGGGTACGCCTCCTACCTGATCTGTCCTTACGGTAGAATGGAGTGAAAGCGTCACCTTCCAGAAGTAACTGCAAGTCCTTATAGTAGCTCTTAACAGGTTGTTTGGGGTTCATCCTGGTTTTTTATTTTTTGCGTTCGGGGATATGTTAGGTTTGGTTGCCGTAGCGAATGACGAAGTATGACTATTGTGTTACGTTAGCGCCGACCGCCTAATTATTCTGAGGAACTGATTTGCCGAAAGTCTCCTCTGGTGACATAACTGGCCTTCTTTTCCCGGAAGGCCATCAGTCTTCCACGACTGTGCTTTCCTTTAATCCATCACCTGTCATTTGGATAGCTTAGTGATTTTTCAGGGATTTTATTTGGGTGGGCTCCAGAAAAATCATGATAATGCCACTCTTTAGATCTTGACTCTCTTCTAGTATTTTAAATCGCCTCACAATTGACGCTGTGGATGAGCTGACATGGGGTTTGCCTTTTTGTCCATATAGTTTTCAGTGTCTGTTGTGTGTACGCTGGTCTCTCTTCCTTGTCGTGCCGCCTAGACTATACAATCCTTAATCAACTTGGAGGCCAGCGATCCATGGAAATTCTTTGCAGAGGACTGTTAATGTCGTAAAAATACTCAGCTCTTGCTCCGTGTTCAAATGCTTACTATGATTAGCTCCAGCCCGTGACCTCGCAGCGTACTGTCATTGACCATCGTCCTCGGTATCATAGGCACCGAGTTCGTATTCCAACGGCACGGCACAACTTTTGTGGGCGCATACTTTATGACTGAATGGTTCATTGCTGAGGGTTTCTTAATATTGTTATCTGCTCTGTAATAATACAGGACATTTTCATCTAGTTATTATAATAAGGAAAGTTACCAAACCTGTGACGTAAAGAAGAAAACGACTCAATTTTCGCAGTCTTCGATGCGGATCTTGGAGAGAAGCAGTCAAGTAGAGTCTCGTACAGATGGTTTGACGGTTGGGGAGAACAGTTGAGGTCAAATTTGAGATACGCTTCAACGACATGAAGTGAGAAAAGTAGTCGCTGAAAATGTACTTCGGAGGGTTTAAATAGAATGTTACCTTGGTCACAGTATTGTGAACGACGGTAGATAAATTCGAAACCCAAAGTTTCAAAGAGTCGTAAAATTTCCGAGATGACACAATCGAAATTCGAATAAAATGATATTAACCTGCAATTTCTTTCTACTCGACGTGATGTCTACACTATACTGTCGACCAAAATCGACGTTACTCGAATGGCTAAAGATTCAGAAACAAATAAACTCCCCACACTCTATTTGCGAAGACCTTTTACCGGATCTCGCCTAGTAACAGAGGCCAAGAGAAACCACACGACACCTCATATGTGGTGGTACCGAAAGTGGTGCACAAAGGGATGAACTCGATCTACAAGTTAGGATACCCAGGCTGTTCAGTAGAATTCGGCTGATGCTGTATTTTGGTTGTGCGTTCCAAGCCGATGGAATGACGAACAATGGCATGAATTCCAGCGTAGGAAAGACCGGAGTAGAAAAACCTGTAATAAATCAGCTGTTGACTGAGAATTAGATAGGCCTCTCGAGGTGGATATTTGTCAGAGTGGAAAAGGCATAAGCAAGTGGTTTAGGGTCATAGTGGATACAAAGTCCTGACCTCCAACATAGTTACCAAAATTCTTCATGGGGAGATGCCGTAACTAGTTTAGGTTGGCGTAAGTTTGGTAGAGTAGGAAGCCAAGGGTTAAGTGCTAGCTGGGGTCTGTTGTTGGAGGGTTGCACCTATAACATAAATGGAGGTGCCGGGAACAATGGAGAGCAAGACATCAACTAGAAGGTGGGAAAGGACAGTTGTATCTGCAGGGATTACTTTGACATGCCGGAAAGTGTTTGTGGTTGTGTGAGGAAGAGGGAGCTCGCGGTTGTTGCCGCATAAAGAGTTAACGTGAGATGAAACATCGACAAAAGTTGGCAAGACCTACGAAACGGTGCAGTTATCTGAAGTGACTGGAAGAAGGGGACACTCAAGTATATAAATCTTTGGTGTTTATGGGATAACAACCAAAAGCATATATGCGGTGTCCTGGGAACAAGAGCGAGGGAACGCACAAAACCCATTGAGATGCATTGGTAAAGGCGCCAAATTGGCTGAATCTTTGAAGAATGTGACATGGGTAATCTAGGCATTCATCTCTACTGGGACACGCAAACAGATCTACAGTGACTATGCGAAACGGGACGTGAACTTAGTGCGCTGCAATAATCAAGTCAAGTCCTATGTTGGAAGTGAAAGACAGAAGGAACAGGGAGGGGGTGGCTTAATATATACAGAAACCGGATTTGCCCACCCAGACGGTAGTAGCAACTGGCAAAGCGAAGACTGGTGTTGACTGCGTCCAGTCATGCCGTAGTCTCCATGAGACATTTGTGGCAACCGCTTTTGTAGGCTCGTGGGCCAAGCTCAAGTGGTCTCCAATCGACATGTGTTGCATTTGCGGAGGTGTGGTGTGCCAGTGGCTTCGGTTGTGGTTGCAGGGGTGGCGCGTCTAAGTGGCGCATGGGCATCTGCGACTCTGCGGGGACGCAGTTGTGTCCGAGCTGAGTTCCGTCGAGTGGCTTAAGGTCAGCGCATCTGGAATGGCTCGCTTCAAGGGGTGAATGACCTTGAGGCAGCGAAATATTGAACAATACCGCCAGACCGGTCATGATGGTTGACAACTACAACCCATATATATAAAGAAAGACTAGAAGTTATTCCCGGAGGACTTCGTTGATGAAACTTCGAAAGGCTTATGTAGGGTTGTAGGGCCCAAAATTCGTCCTGACGAAATCATGTAACCAGATGGTGCCGTATTCGCCGTTTAGATGGTGTCGTCTGGAGCAAATAGGATTGATTGGAAGACTTGAACTAGATCAACGTTGAAAAAATGCTGTACAGGTTAGACTGGAAGAGAAGACCTGGAGGTGGGAAAGTGCGTGTCGGATGGGGACAGTGCAGCTGTTTAATCGTCGGTAATCACCGCATGGACGCTAGTCTTCGAGGGATTTTTTAAAAACTATGTGCAAATGAGCAGTCAAAGGATTAGTGGAGAGTCACACTATGCCCAGCTCCATCATAGCCTACTTATAGGCCGCTAACTGGCAAATATGACCAAAACGGGTGATCCGGCATTTGAAATATAATTCATGACGGAATATTCAATAAACTGGTCAGATTATGGACGTCAGGAATGGATGGGAATTCCGAGAGCAAATAATGATAGAGGTGGACGAAGGGTGTGCTGGAATGTTAGGAAAGACGGATTAAGTGGTACCAGCTGAACGTTTAGAATACAAGGATATCATAATGTCTACTGGTTTATAGGACTTGACTTCACTGAGAAGAACGGAAAAGGATATAAAATCGATACATAGAATGGCGGTACAAAAGTCACAAGTAGCATACACTTAACGAACAAAGCGCCGTAAACCAAAATCTAAAGTTAGGGGACGTTGGGCAGAAGTGTTTATGGAAGTACTATTAGCTGCGTGCAGGGAAAATTGGGAGTTGAGTGACTTACAGTCTGTCAGAGAGCATGGAACTAGGTTAATCTAATCGTTAGTATCCGCAAGGAAAGCACGACACGAACTCACATCGAAAATGCTGAGCAGATGATTTGGAGAGGTCGGACCGACCAAGTTTGCCGTCGCCGCTACTGGCTGGCAGATGGGTTTTCTGCCGAAGATTTTTTGTAACGACGCGGAAGCTCACCATGATGGACACTGAACACATAAGTGTGGCAATGCCAACAGAAAATATCAGCCACGGGTAGGCCTGAAACTGAAATGAGAGACCTTGCAAGGCAAGTAGCGGAAAGAACTGGACGATGACACCAGGAAAAGTACGAAAGTGAGAAATTTTAAGGATGGGGTCCAAGACGTTTTACGACGTCCTCGATGGTGGGCGTAGCTGGCACAGCTGTGATATGACTAGAAACGCTGACTGCAATAATTAGCTGGTCGTACTCGGGGATGCAGTCGGCAGCTTCTGTGAGCATTTGGACAGCCGAGGAAGGAACGTTAAGCGCAAGGATAGCTTGTACAAAAGAGGGTAACCGTTGGGGAGGGGTAGCTTGGACATTTTGACGCTGAGATTTTGTCCATCCTTCGACTACATTTGACGCCCACGAAGTTATGCAGGCTACATATTCCCAGAACTTTTTCACAAACTCAAACCCTACATCGTTTTAGGTTGGTAGGGGATGCGGAAAATGAGGCCTCACTTTGCTGCAGTATGCGGCTCGTCTATGGATAGACTATCCGTAATATCCTGATGGTTAGCGAAAATATCCGTTGGCAGTGCAGCCACGATATGATGAAATTTCGCTTCCTCCCTCATTATCTGCAGCAAGGTAAAATGGGATTCTACCGTGGGCGGCGACAGCGTAATGCCACTGAGCCACACGGATGGGAGATCGAAAGTGGGAGTACCAGTTTTTGATGACCGGTAGGTTCACTCTTCATGATTTACTAATGCCGGTCCAAGGTGATATAATTGAGTTAGAAGACGAATAGGCCGACGCCGACAGATGAGGGCGGCATTCGTACTGGTTTGGAAAATGAGACAGCGTGGACAGAAAAAAGGGTCTGGCTGAGTTGTTACAACTCCTGGGAGTCTTCAGGAGCGTTCGCGGGTCCTTCGGGACTTCTGGGTGGTAGGGCCGCAGCATATCGAATAAAGCCTTCATCATAGAGAACGGCATTCGTGTTTTCAGACACAGATCTTGTAAATCGGACAGAAAAGATTTTCCCACATTTTCCGTCACATGCACTTGGCTGCCTGCAAAATCTACACCCACTAATATTCTACATCGATGGAAAAACCTACCAGTGTAACCCTCAGCCGTTAATTCAGGCATTTCTAATTCAGGAAAGTCGCTTGGCAAAGTAGACGCCGATGGAACATTAACCGGTTGAGCAGCCTCCGTTGCGGCATAGTAGGCCCTCTTTAGGCGCTGGATTCGCTTATAGGCAGTGCTCCGGTTGATTCCAAAATACTTACGCTTCATTTCTACTTAGTGTCAATGACAAAAATGATAAACAAAGGCTCAAAGTGCAGCTTTTCAGATGACTCTGCTAGAACGGATATCTCATTGATATTGCTTAAATCAACAGACAAATATTCAATGATAATACAAATTTACAGGTCAAAAGTAACAAAATATCATAAAAGACAGCAAAAGGACAGTTCGTAACATACCACAGTAACGTATGCACGTACACCAACGTAGACGGTATTAGAACTCACAACGAGAGGAACGCAGCTCACGTGAGAGATAAGTCCCGCAAAGTGACACACTTAAACAATTAAGAGCTTCATATCAGGATTGCCAAGATATGTAAAAAGCACAACTTCCGAGGTCCTAAAGTACTTTTTACTATTCAAAAAACAATTTTAAACCGAAAAATGCACGCCTATTCACGGACTAATGCCTGTTAGTAGTGCAGTACCGACGAGAAAACTACGAGGGGGCTGGCCCCCTCATAGCCCCTTCTTGGCCCCATTTCAAGAGGGGGCCAAGTGCTGGCAGGGATGATTGACAAAAGTAGGGCGGGGATGAATTAAACTGAAAATCCCTAAGCATGACAGTAAAATAGAAGGCGTTATGAACTAGAGGGTGTCACCCATGCTGTATGTAAATTGGTCTATCCTTGGACATAAAAGATAAATGTTCACAGATTGTTTGAGCCAGTCAAACAAGAAGCAACGCATCAGCCATGAAGAGGCAGCATAACATTGAATTGTTACTAAAAGAATTTTTATTAGTTTTCAAGCTATTTTAGTGCACTAAGACAAAACATTTTTAACGCCACTGCACAGTCATGCCGTAAAGTATGTTCGGCGTTATTATTATCAAATTGTTGCAGGAAATTATTACAGCTCTTTTTTCCTGAGACAGTATGATATTTTAAACACTCCCCTTTAATTAGACGACTGGTGAAGGGTAGTACTTCAAGGTTCTATTCGAGATGGACAGGTATAAATGGAATTACTGTGGGTACTTGCACAGTTCAGGTCAACATATTTAAGCGTAACAGACAATACCGGTGCGGAATCTGTTAAGACGGTTCACACAATACTCAAGTCGTAATAAACATAATACCATTATGTTGTCAGTGACGTAATTGTTTTCTTTCGTTATTATTTACAGTAATGATATTTTCACTGAAATCACAAATTGGTCAGCCCTTAAGGTAAGTCAGTGACCTCAAGTGTGCTTTCTCATATTCCAAGGACATCATAGATGCTTGCGTCGAAAAATAATGCCGGGTTACTATTATAACTCTCTGAAAACTTCCTCGGGTTGTTTGTGTGAATTGACACTTCCCGCACGGACCTAGGATGGTGGTGGTGTAACTGCGCGTCGGTGCTCTTCCCCTTCTCCTCCGCTGACCCCTTCCCCGCAACTCGCCGTAACTTTCCCGTCTCTCCCTCCCTACATCGTCAGCTCCCTCGGTCCTCCCCTTCAGTTGCTGACCTTGATGTCCACAAAACGTTCCCATTTTCCTTTCTTGTGGATGAGTATTGTGATTCGTCAACGACTATATTCAGATCGGCTTTAGACGAGATCTCATCCCGGTGCCTCGCTACCTCGGTTTGTGCTATCCTAGGCGTCCTCGGCCGCTATGCTACGCTTACGAAAGTTAATTTCAACGTGGCAGATAGACTTCTCATTGGCAAAGTGCAGTTTCATGTCTTTTGGCCCCGATGAGCTTCCTGGTCTCAACATGTTTTCAGAGTGACCAGCTCTCAGAAGTAAGTCAGTTTAAGTCAGTTTATTAAGGGAATGAGGCTTTCGCCCTTGAGCTCCCTATTCGTATCGATAAACAGAAATTAATTCATCAATTACATCAGCAAATGCGAAAAGTTAAGAAGTTAGCGGTAAGTGTGAGCTAGGCGCAAACCGCCGCCGCTAAAACAATCACTATTGAATGTACAGTAAGTTCTCAACAAGTGAGCGTCTAGTCTGCACTTAAAGGATTTGACACTTTCGGAAAGAACGACGGCATCAGGGAGTCCATTCCATGCCCCGATGACCCTGTGAGAGAAGGCGTTCCGCCGGACGTCCGAATGAGCCCGCTTCCTTTGCAGTTTGAAGGGATGACCACGCAGACAGTCAGTCCGGACCAATTCAAAAAATTCATCAAAGTCCAGGACACACTCACGGCTTCTGACAATCCTGTAGGTTTGAATGAGATCGCCGCGCATTTGCCTGTAATTTAGAGGAAACAGATTTAGTTCGGTCAGCCTGGTTTCGTAAGGCAAATGATGAAGATTCTTGAGCAACTTCGTAGCCATCGCCTGTACTCTTTCCAGTCGTTGATAATCTTTCTTTAACCACGGTCGCCAGGCCTGGACTGCATACTCTAAGTGAGACCGGACGAATGCCCCATAGGTTTTACCGAACAGTTCTTTATCGATCTGCACAAATCCTCGCCTCATCGCAAATAACACCCTTGTCGCACTTTTGGCTGCCCTTTGACACTGTGACGATGGTTTCAGCGAGGAGGTCATTAGGACTCCCAGGTCTTTCTGTTCCACAACATCTGAAAGGGGCTGACCACCAAGGACGTATTGAAAGGAATCGTCCTCCTTACTGGTCCGTCTGGTGCGGAGTCTCAGGACCACACATTTGTCCACATTAAAATTGAGGACCCAGCGAGCTGACCAACTGTTTAGGCGGTTGAGACTGTCTTGAAGCGAGTACCTATCTGCATCAGATCTGATGGGTCTCCACAGCTTAACATCGTCAGCAAACATGATGGCGCTGCATCCCAGGTCGTCGACGCAGTCGTTAATGTAAACCAGGAATAGCAACGGCCCTAAGACGGAGCCCTGGGGTACACCACTTAGAACGGGAGTAGGAGTTGACCTTGAGGCCTCAATGCACACGGTTTGCGATCTCCCGGTAAGAAAATCTGTTAGCCATGTCAGCAGCGTTCCTCTTATCCCAATTTCAGAAAGTTTTTAGATTAGGCGTTTGTGTGGGACGCTGTCGAACGCCTCCTTAAAGTCTGTGTATATGACATCAACCCTCCCATCCTCGTCCAGTGCGCGAGTCCACTGCTCCGTCGAGAGCAATAAACTGGAAAAACACGAGCGGTTCTGTCTAAAGCCGTGCTGCAGGTCTGAGATTAAATGGCCCTGCTCCAGGAACTCCATAGTTGCTTTCTTAACTATGGCCTCCATTATTTTACAGCAGATGCAGGTTAGACTAACAGGTCGGTAATTGTTAGCATTAGTGCGAGCCCCGCCCTTGTATATCGGAAAGATATTTGCTGTCTTCCATTCCGGTGGCAACCTCCCTAATTCGAATGACGAGCGGAAGATGTGCGCCAGTGGTTTGGAAAGTTCATTCGCCAGTTCCTTCAAGAATTTGGCCGGTATATTGTCCGCACCCAAGGACTTTGCTTCCTTCAGATTTTTCAGCTCCCTTTCCACGACAGCTGTCGGGAACAGTATGGAGTCAAGCACGCGATCAGCAGTCTCAACAGCGTTGTTAGCACTGCGACTGCGAAACTCTGTTTCTCTAGTAAAAACCGAGGCAAAATACTGTCCTAAGTGTTCGGCTTTCTCGCTGTTCTCAGTGATCTCTACACCATTACCATCCTTCAGCACCGCGACCGGGTCCTTAATTTTCAGTCTACTGTTCAGATAGTGAAATAAAATCTTCGGTTTCTGTTCAGCCTGTCGTATAATTTTGGATTCATACTCCTTCCGTGCCTGACGGATACATTTTTTGACGGCATTTCGTTGACGACGAAATTCTTCGAAATGCGCTGGTGACGCAGTTTCCCTGAATATTTTCCATCTTTTGCTTTTCTTCCGTAGCTGTCTATTTAGGTCCCTAGTTAACCAAGCAGGTCTACTAGTTGTTTTTTGTACTTTAGGTGGACAACAGCGCCTAATCAGATCGAGTGAAATCGTTTTAAAAGATTTCCAGTCGTCCTCCGGATCTCCCCTGAGTATTTGGTCCCAATTCACAGACAGCAATACGTTCTTCATCATATTAAAATCTGCCTTCCATATATTAGGTTGGCCCTCTGTTCTCTTCTGGCGTTTAGAGAAGAGCGAGTAATCCCATAGTAGCGTAGTATGGTCACTTTTCCCGAGAGGTGCATTGGAATACACTTAGTCGATATTAGAGAAGTCTTTAGTGAAAACTAGGTCTAGACAATTTGCTCTCTGGTTCTCTCGAAATCTTGTTGGTACCTTCACATGTTGCGCCAGAGGGAGGTCGAGTGTGAGGTCAAGTAGCTTATTGCTGAAAGAGGCTGGTCCACCATTAGCTGCCATAGTTTCCCACTCTATTGCAGGTGCGTTGAAATCCCCAGCAATAAGTACCTCTTGGTGGCTAGCTACGTCTTTGACTAAACCAAGGAACGACTCATCACCTGCAATCAGAAGGTTTGGTGGTCTGTAAATCGTCAGACATTCTAGATTTTGTGCATTGCTCTTCTTTATCTTTATCCAGACGGATTCATATTCAAGGGAGAGGGTGTGGGCTCCTTCAACTGCTGAAATTCCTTCCCTTACATACACGACTACCCCTCCGCCCTGCCTATTTTTGCTTTACCATAAAGGAGTGAGGTTTAAGCTACACAAACAGGCTTGCTTTATCACTTCACGCAGACAGAATCTCCGATAGAGGTGCGAAGATATGTGGGTTCACATCACATATTGCTTTTCTTCCGGAAATAAACCTAAGAATTTGTCAAATATTTAGACTTCCTGTCCTCTAGTACAGCTGTTCCTTCGTTGGTTTAGTAAATGCCCGTGACCGTAACAAAATTGAAGATATCCAGAGATTTTTTACCCAAAAACTCCTCTCTCAAGCTGCACCAGGCATTTGTTATACTGGGACATGTCAAGTGGTCAATATTTAATTTATATGGGTTAGAAGACTCAGAGCTGGCCCTTGTTTCCTGTTCCACATTAACCCCCGCTCCAATCTGCCGAGCATTGGCACTCTCACTCCAAGAGTTCAGTCTTACGTCATAGTGATTCCACCGCCTCTTTGCTCTACATCTGAACGATTCATCTTCTTTGTATCCACAGATGTCTTCCTTTGGAATAATCTACCAGAGCATAGGCCGTCACCTCAATAAACGGCATTCAAATCGAAATTACGCAAGTACGTTACTTTGAGAGCACAGTCACAACGCACCAGGAACAAACTGGAATACCCTCCAAGCGTCAGGTCCAAAATCGGCATTCGATTACCGCCTGTTGAGCAAAACATTAAATGCGTGGCTCACACAACATGTAATGTTCCCAACGAGAACACGTGAAGGACAAAGGGCAAACTGCCTGGATCTGGTCTTTACGAAAACACCAGACAGCATAGACGAGATCGCCTCCATGCCGCCCCTTGGCCGAAGTGACCACGTAGTGCTTATGTGGGATTATTCGTTATTCTCCATTTCACATACTCCAGACCACAAAAGACGTAATCTTTGGCGGGGCGACTTCAATCAGATGAGGGCAGACTTATCCGGTCTTGACTGGGGCTCATTGTTTACGGGAAGTGCCAACGATGACTGGAAGCTGTTCGAGAATGTCCTTCTGCAGCTCATCAACAACCACTGCCCACTGACTAGTGTAAGACTGAACAAACGCCCTGGGTGGCTAAATAGCAACCTCAAGAAAGAAATCAACAGGAAGCACAAATTGTGGAGAAAATACTGCGTCACTAGACAAGCTGAATGCTTCAACGCCTACAAGACACAGAGGAACAAACTGAGGAAGCTGATAATGCTGACGCGGCGGGAATTCGAGAAGAACTTGCCACAAAAAGCAACGCAGAACCCAAAATTGCTCTACAACTAACTCCGACGAACTACAAGGAACAGGCATCAAATCCCCTTGATTAAGACTACTGATGGCGTTGAAATCGCTGATATTAGGGATAAAGCTGCGTATTTTTCACGGTTTTTCCAATCAGTCTACACAAATGAGGCAAGGTTCCTTCCTCCCTCCACAGAAGAACTGCCGACTCCAAGCATCAGTGATATACTCTTCTCAGAAGGCATTGTCCGAGGACAAATAGACGCACTGAACTAATCGATGTCGCCAGGACCAGACGAGATTCCATCCAAGCTTCTCAATGAACTTGCCAGTGAGATCTCTGTGCCTTTGTCGATGTTCTTTCAAACGTCATTTGACACTGGAACACTTCCTATCGATTGGAAGCTGGCGCATATTACTCCGCTACGCAAAGCAGGTAACAGGGCAGCGACGACAAATTGCAGGCCCATAAGCTTGACATGCATTCTCTGCAAAGTTATGGAAAGGATCATAAAGAGTGAACTGATGCAATTCCTGGAAGTTCACGGCCTGCCATCGAACTGCCAACATGGGTTCCGGAAAGGAAGATCCTGCACGACAAACCTGCTGCAATCTCTCCAGAGCTGGACCCGAGCTCTCGACGACAGGCACGCGGTCCACATAGCCTTCATCGACTCCCAGAAGGCTTTCGACACTGTGCCACACCAAAGGCTCTTACTTAAGCTGAAAAAAATAGGGAGCGGTGGCAACTTTCTTAAATGGATCGAAAACTTCCTTGTGGGTCGACACCAGGTTGTGTGCGTCGGTCGGGGAAAATCAGATCCGGCTTTGGTCGATAGTGGTGTCCCCCAGGGTTCTGTACTGGGACCCATTTTGTTCCTTATCTACGTGGACGATGCCGCAAGAGATTTAGACTGTGAAGTAGCAATGTTTGCGGATGACATGAAGATATGGAGCGTAATTCGGGGTCCTGCCGACGAAGACAGACTGCAGATGAACCTGAATCGGTTGGAGGAGTGGTCAAACCGTTGGCTCCTGCGGTTCAACGTTGCCAAATGTAGCATACTTCGCCTAAACAACACAGCCAGATCCGCCAGCACAAGAGGCTACTTTCTGGGCGGTGCAGCCCTACAAGAGGTCGAAGCCCAAAGGGACCTCGGTGTGCTTACGACGCGTTCCCTAAAACCATCCGCCCACTGTTCGAGGGTGGCGAAAAGCGCAATGTCCGTACTGTACGCCATCAAGCGTGCGTTTATGGACTTTGACGAAGAAGCTTTCTCTAAGACATTCGGAACATTCGTCCGGCCGCATTTAGAGTACGGCATACAAGCTTGGAGGCCGTGGGCTGTTGTGGATCGAAATTGCCTCGAAAGAGTCCAGAGGAGAGCCACGAAGATGGTTAGGGGTCAAAGCTCCTTTCCTTATGCAACCCGCCTGGTAAATCTGAACCTCTTTCCTTTGAGTTACAGGCAACCTCGCGGAGATCTCTTGCAAGCCTTCCGCATTGTAAAGGGGTTGGATTGCAGTCTGGCCTTCGAGGACTTTTTTGGATTTGCTACCACGACCAACCTCCGAGGTCACCCGTTAAAACTGCGCACTCAGCAGGCACGGCTGGATGTGCGGAAGTTCTCCTTCTCGGTTCGGGTGGTCAAACCATGGAATGAGCTCCCCGCAGATGTTGTAATGTCACCATCTATAAAAAGTTCTAAGAAGAATCTGGACATATTTATGTTCCGAAATGACCAAGAGCGATGAGAAGTCGAGCTCACCCCCTGTAACTCCTTCTCATTTTGTCCCACCAGTATGGGCGTGTTCGAACTATTTCAGCCCAGAACATCTATCTGTACACCACACATTTTTTACGTTGCAAATTGGGTACTCAAAGGCTTACGCCTATTTCCCTCAATAAACTGAACTGAAAGTTGACTGTTTCGTTCTCAAACACTCAAACGCTGAACTCTGACAAGGATCATCCTGGCAGATAATACATGTTTGCTCGTCCAATCGGAAACGTCCACTTAGGCTCAGGTTAGCAAAAGTAAGAGATCCGGGCTGATAATCTGATCGCAAACGCAAATAACCCCAATTGAAGTGACGACACACAATACAAGAGGCCACCAACACTCATAGGCGACGGCCAGTAGACCAAGGCAGCGAAAGAAGAAAAAAGTCGATCAGCCCACGGCCAACTAATTCGGCTGTCCATTCAAAATTCTGATCGATTTTTTTCACTATACGCTTTGAAAATGGAGAGCTGGCCCACCTCTTCGAAACGTCAGCCGAACAAGTCCTCCTATCCGGTGAGCAATTCATTTTCCTCACGTTCACTTAAATTTCTACAACCCCGTCCTTAGTTTGGTACTAAACCCATTGTTATCACTCCTCCCCTGAAGTAATGATCTTGGAGGCTTTTCATCTTATTTCGACAGCAAGCGATCTGCTGAGGATCACGGCAGACTCCTCTGTTTTCCCCTCGGCATCGGGCGGCAAGTGACCGAACGCTTAGATCAAATGATCAAGAAGACCCGGGTTTAACCGCAGGCCTTCCCGGTCTGAAACTGGAGAGGGGAAGGAAAATAAGCCAAAAGTAGCCATTCCAGTCTTCCTTGACTCTGTTGGAATTCTTTCTAAGACAACTCCACGTTAAGTGCAAGGTTACCTCAAAGAAGAAATCACGCTTTCATCTGGAGTGCACTTTAAAAAAAAGAAACAGTAAACCCGAGAGTTAAAACGTTTATTGGGAATGGCGCACAAAAGGCAGGGGAGTATCACGAGAGGCATTCTGGAGGGACAGGCTGGAAATGGAAAAACTAGTAAGATAAAACGTCAAAGCAGTACAGGAGTCAATGAAAACGATTGGTGGTGATTGGCTGGTGGTTTAGTGTGGACTAGTGGTCGGGATTTGAAGGTCCTGAGAAGTGAGTCACCTGCACGGAGGCCCGAAGTTTTTGTTTTACATCTACAAATGGATAAAAAAGGAGAACAGTGGGGTTGGTGGCACGAGTGTAAGAAGGACCGAGAGACGGGCGACAACTGGATGCGAAGTTTGACTTCAACTTTATCGGTGCCACCGGAACACAGATCAGGAAATAAGACAACCGCCTCGAAGCCCATAACAAAGGCTGTGTGATGCGGCACACTGGCTCGTACGGCGTAAGTACACACTAACGGGGAGCAGAGATAGCAAGGACCGTAGGTACGGAGAAAATCGATAAGTCGTGAATGAGCTACTAGCCCTAAGTAGCACGCGGCACTAAAGTGTCTCGGCTTTGCGACAAAGTGTAGAGGTTTCGGAGAATGATACTAAACCAATGCGACGTTACCTACAGTCATGCTAGAGAGCAGGAATCACAAGTTTTCTGCTACGGACAGAGGTTAAAAAGCTGGTTAAAGTCCTGTGAAACAAAAATCCCACAGGTCAACTTGTTTTACTTTTTAACCTAAGCGAGGATGCAGCTGGAGGGACACCGCACTTCAAAATCTATCAGTGAAAGAAGAGAGAAGCGAGCCTTCGGGGAGCTCTAGGTTATGCAAGTTTGAAAATGGCATAGCATAAACGGACGGAAATCGTATATAGGCAGTTAAGAAGGCACTCACTTTTGAGTGCACGCATTTTGTCCGTCGGAGAACTGAAAGAGAAAAGAGCTATGAAAGTCACACATGTCTCGGGGAGTGACGGGCAAATAGTAAAGGAAAGCGTACGGACGATAAAGACGGACGGAATCGTCAAGGGCCCCCTCGAAGATGCTTAAACAGCTGCATAGTGGAGTGCGGCAGGGCGTAAGGTGGCATATAATAGATAACCTACACGAAGCCCTGTGTCCGAGGTCAGTGTGAGGTCAAGCCGAACAGCTTCAAATAGCTGCCAGAGCAGTGAGGACAGTCTTTAGAAATAACAAGCATGAATATATCGCTGAAAAATGCCCCCGCATTAGGTCCAGCTTGTGACATTCACTGCACACGTGCTATAATCTCTCCTTTTAAAAAAGAGACTCAAATGGGAGATGAAGATCGATGCGTAGATCATATTTATTGAGAAAGGCCCACTTTGGCGATTTCAGTACCACGAATTCCCTTTGCCTGCTGTTTTTCCCCTCAACAAATTCCCCGTGCCATACCTGAGGCCGAGTAATTGAGCACTTCATAAGAACTCTGTTCCCGGTCCAGACCAAAGCAAATGTTAGACATTCAAATCTGGCGGAAAACCGGTAGAATTAACTTTTTGCGCCAAATAGTCTCGCAAGTGCACATATTTAAACCTGGCGACAATATCGGCCACAGAGGGATCCATACTCCGTTGGTAATTAAACAGGTCTTAACAACGCTGTCATCGCATCACAAAGCGAAATACATGTTCTCTCAGTGTTCGACGGCATTCTCCATCACGAATACTTCGATACAGAATCACGAGGGTACTTTCAGAATCTCTCCATACTGTCCTCAACACAAAGCTGCTGCAAACGTCTTCGTCACTGTCATTTTTTGGCACACTCAGTGTGAAAGCCCCCAGGACAAGACCCAACCATGCAGGGTCTCGGGCTGGACGTGGATGCATACCTAACCAGAAGGCACCCCTCGGCATTGGTGTCGGCCAACTTGAAACAGACAGTTTCAAAGACCTCCGGGTGAAGTTGCCGCCGAATAGTCAGGGCAAAGTCGATATCATCTCCTGAGTCTACGCTGCCAGCAAGGTTTTCGAAATCTTTATGAAATATCTGTGGAGCTGACGCGATAACTCAATCGTCACAAAGATCCGCTTGTATCGGGCATCCATCCGGCCAGTCCTCCTCTGCAGTTGCGAATGTTGGACAGCAGGCACGGAAGATGAGTGAGACCTGGAGGTGTTTGAACACTGCTGCCTGAGGAGTATCCTTCGAGTAAAATAGGCGGACCTTATATTAAATGTGATAGTCCGCAGTCGCTGCGACAGCACCGAAAGGATATCTAAGGCCGTCCAAAAAAGACATCTGAGGAGGTTTGGGCACTTTCTTCATCGCGTGCTTCACGAGCTCGATATTATTACCCAGCTGGCGGCGTCAAAGAAATCAACTGGAAACCTGGCTCGACACACTTGTTCTTGGATTTTCTGTGTTCGGCTTCTATCGCAGGATGAGAAAGTGGATCGAGCAGATCGTCACGCGTGGGGAGGTGCAATTCGCGACATCGAGGCCGCCTAGATCAGGTATGATCACAGCTGCACCCAGTGAGTACAAATTGCTTCTTTACCGGGTAAGAGCTGTGCTGCTGTAATGGTCCACCGAAGGGTGGGGTAAGGAGCGAGTGGACTCGTCGCTGGTCCTCATTTGAAGAAGTCGGTTGATGATTTCTCACGAACTGAAGATGATTGGGGACGTGCTCGGCCTAACCCCCCAGAAAATTTGATCTTGCTAGCAGTGGCGGTTCTGTCTGAACTGGGCAGCAGAGCAGTCATGGTGTGTTAGGCGTAGTCAACTACCTTCATGACCGTAAGGAATCTCAACGTCTCATCACGGTTGGCATATCCTTGGAGTTTCCCTATCTCGCGAGCCAGCAGGTGATTTGACATCGCTCGCGACCTATACTGGGGCTGACTTTGTATAAAAAGAACAGTCTCGTTCGCACGCATTTAGTCTTCCATGCTGGCTCTGTGAAACTGGTTATTTTCGGGCAGAAGACACTCAACAAGCCTGCCCAGTACAAGTAAACCAACCCTGATGCCCGCGTGCGAATTCTGGAGGTCGTATTTGTGATTCTCATCATCAAGACGTCTACGTAGTTATCGGTTCGTCATTTAGCATCACATGTCATAAGCCAGTCAAAGTGATTTCGCCTCCCGATTTGCATATTATTTAGCGTTCGCCAATAACACATCCGTACTTACTTGTACCTAATACGGCTGCGATCATGCCTGATCTAGCCAGCCTCGATGACGTCTCGAACTGTACCTCTCCACGCATGACGACCCGCGACAGCAGATCTGGACAGCTCAACCCATTCCCTTCGCCAACGACGGAGACCGAATACCGAAGGTCCAAGAACCACCTCCATGTCTTGACGGACAGTGTCGAGCCAGGTTTTGAACTGACCCCCTCTTCGACGCCCCCAATGGGGCAACGGTGCCGGATCAAGGGCAGTAACACTGAGCTCCTGAGGTGGACGACGAAGAACATGCCCGAACCACCTCAGTCGTCTTTCTTGGATGGCCTGGGTTATCCTGTCGATGTTGTCGCACGGAGCCCGGACTGTCTCATTTGAGACGAAGTCGGCTAACTTCACTCGAAGGATGGTCCCCAAGCAGTGGTGGTCAAATACCTCCAGTTGTCGATCGTTCTACACGCGCACAGCCCAGCATTCATAACCGTAGAGAAGGACAGACCGGACGGATGCACGGTACACGCGAATCTTAGTGGCGATGGAGACGTCGTGTCCGATCCATAGGCATCTTCTAAGGCTTTAATAAAGCTGGCTGGCAGTATCAACCCGGGAGACAGTGTCGTCCTATCTCTGCCCGTTCAACAGCCTTGCCCTAGCCATTTAAAACTGTCTGCGGTTGGATACCAGTGTCGCAACACTCCGTTACTGATGCTAGTATTATTGCAGTTAGTTACCCATACTGTAAGCGTTGGTAGAGTAGCATTGGCAGCCGTGATGGCGGTGGTAGTAGTAGTAGTACTAATAGTAGGATTATTAGTAGTATTCGCCGTATCAGTGGTGGTAGACGGGGGAAAAAGTTTTCTTCAGTGTTGCGACACTGTATTCCCGCCAGTGGTAGTAGTATTAGTAGTAACAGCGGTAGTAGTGGTAGTAGTAGCAGTAGTAGTGGTGGTGGTAGTAGTAGTCCGCCCGTAAGACAGGCTGGTGGGCGAATAGACAATTCTAAGTGTTGCGACACTGTATTCCCGCCCTGTCTGCTACTTCAAGTTGACGGTCATGAATCCCGAGAAGTGAGTTCTACTGGTCAGGGATGTAGCTTGAAAACACTTTAGTCTTTTCAGCGTTTATGGATAAACCGACCGATTTAGCGACCTTGTTCACCCGTGACATCATAGACTGCAGATCATCAACACTTTAAGCTAGAAAGGCAATATCATCAGCATAGTCGAGATCAGTCAATCGCTGTCCGGGTGCAGACTCAACACCGTCGCCTTCGCGTAGGGCCCTCCTGAGAGTCCGGTCAATAGCACAGTTGGACAGAATGGGCGATGGGACACAACCCTGTCGCACGTCAGACCGAATACCAAACGGTTGGGAAAGATTGGGTTGGAGCAGAACTCGCGCAGTGATCACGGCGATGGTTTTTGGTGGCACACCATCTAGTGACATTATCCGCCGCAGGAACTAACGTTGGACGGGATCTAAAGCGGCGGTAAAGTCACAAAGCAGACAGCCGTCGGTTGTTGGTGGCTACGGTGGAATTCGAGGATGCGCTTCAGTGTGAATACCTGCTCCGAACATCCACGTCAAGAACGAAAGCCGGCCTGGTTGGGCTTAGTCCTAGAGTTACGCACAGTCTCGAATCGCCCGAGAAGGGCAATAGCGAAGATCTCTGCAGCAATGTCGATGAGGCTTATGCCGCGGTAGTTCTCGCATCTTGTCTTATTTCCTTTCTTGAGGACAGGTTCAAGGATGCCCGAGCCCCAGTCATCAGAAACAAGCTAGTCTCTCCACGCTTGTTCAATCACCTCATGGGACCCGAGCACCAGAGTTTCAACACAAGACTTGTAGGTTTGAGCGGGTATGCCGTCCTTTTCGGGTGCCTTGTTGTTGCGTAGCTTCTGTATGGCATCGGCGACTTCTTCAGAAGGGTAGTCGCATGGCACTGCACAGGCTGGAATGGGGATAAATCTCCACTTCAGAAGAGAAAAAGGGCGTGGTGGGTTGGGCATCAAAGCTGTGATGGTGCTCAAAGTGCTCACGCCAGCGCTCGACTCTGGCCCAGTCGTCATCAATAAAGCCGCCATTCATGTTGCGAATAGAGTCACTCAGTGCATAGGGCTTATCACTAACTTGGCGGATAAGTTGGTAGAGTGTTCGGGTGCCACCAACGTCCGAGGTCTGTTCTATGGAGATCGCTATTTCAGCTCAAGATTGTTTCCAGTCACCCCTAGCCGACTCTGCCGTCATCTTTCGAAGTTGGCAGAAGGCATCATCATTACGGGACATGACTCGAGCCGTCTCAGCAGACAAATGAAGGGTTCTTCTGCTGCTCCAGTCACTGCGGTGTCGTCGGGTGTATCCAAGAATCTTCTCAACTGCCCAACAGACTGACGTTTTCCGTGAGGACCACTGGTTACTGCCTTCTCCGTCGGCTCAGGTCGTAAAACAGGATCAGATTTCTCTACTCAGGACTTCAGTAGTGCTGGGTTGCTGGATTTTTGTGACATCGAGGCGTCTGGGACGTGGCATTTCTGGTGCGGAGAAGCGAACTTTCAAACGTGTACGAACGATGACATGGTCTGACCCATGAGTGTTACCAGTTTCGGCACTACGCATCGATCTGTTATTGTGAACCCAGCTGTGGAACTTTGAGCTGACTAGAATGTAGCCAATCTGACTGGCCGCGTGACCGTCCTTTGAATACCAGGTCAGCAGATGTTTGTTGCGATGCTGGAAGCACATGTTGATGACAAGCAGTCGGTTCTGATAAGCGAAGTTCAACAATCTCTCGCCATTTTCAAATCAAGAACCAAGCCCAAAGTGGCCAAGAAGATGACTGGTTGTGGGGTCGTCAGGTCCAGTCCGACCATTTCAATATTCGGCAATAATTTGCAGATCGCGGCGAGGGAGTCTCTCAAATAACGCTTGCAGCTGCGAGTAAAACGACTCGTTTTAGAGTTGCTCAGCAGCTAAAGTTGGTGCATACACGGAGATGATAGGCATATTGATTAAGTGACCCTTCAGTCGCACGAAGGCCATCCGCTCGTTGACTGGTTCCTAAACAATTAAAGTGAGATCTGCTTGTTACGACAGAGCGATAGCCATACCGTGTCTACCAAAAGTGTCAGGAGGGCCGTTGTGGCACAGGGTGAAGTGTGATTCAACTCCGGGAATCTTTATTTCTCGAGAGCCTGAGTCAGGAAGTCGAACTTCGGACAGACAGTAGACATCCACGTTGTACTGATTAAGGCTGCGCGCGGTCAGACTTTGGGTACCAGGATCTAGGAACGTCCGCACGTTCCAGTATCCAATACCAAGAGTCTGTTCCCGATTGAGTAGTACGGCTGACATACCATTCGTCCGCACAAGGTTTGCGGAGCGTATCGGTTCCTGCGGGCGCCATCGGACCTATTTCATGAGGTTTCTTGGGAATTTTGAGTACAGGCGGGTCGCAACAGCCGCTCAGATTGTTTGTTTGAGGTCGTCTCCTCTAGCGCTCTGACTTAAAAGCCTAACCACAAGGCAGTGATGGCGAGCAAACTTATTTAGTGGTGGTTCACGGTCGCCATGTCACAGTGCCATCATCAGGCTTTGCGGCTTTCAGCGTGCCAGACCTCAGTTCTCCGCACTCTGGTAACACTGTCGCTGTCGGTCCGCGACTGCTTATTTGTCAGACCTCGGTCTACTTATTTTGCGGCCAACCTTCATTGAAGGCCGTTCAACTATCCGCCAACTGCGGACGCGCCGGGTAGCCAGCAGCTAGGCCAACCCGTCTTCCCGGGGCAACACCCAATAGTGTAAGCAAGAGTGCATCCATGTGGCTTTTTTAAGGTCGGGAAGGCAAAAGGCGATGCCAATTATGACAGAACCGTGTTCTACGCAGGCGTTTAACGGACGAAAGTCCAATGGCAATGTCGCTTCTAAAAGTGAAGCCCACATCAGCCTTCTGTTGTTTTTCCCTGAGAACGGCCGCTTCAGATTAAGTATTATGCCGGACTCCATTCAACTATCCTTGCTCGGAAGAGCAGGTCTCGATTAGGGCGGTACTTTGTTTTTCCTATCGGGGCCATTTTCGGACGGCAAAAATCGCCCTCCCTTCTGGTCGACTGATCGCCGCGTTATCTAAATGTGAACGGATATTCCAAGTTGCCAGAATAAACGAAGCCGCTCTGCAAAAAGGGAACGGAGGCATCTGATTCTGTTTGTTTTGACCAAGGAAGAGACAGACATCCGTCTAGATATAAGCGAACCATTACTTGATCAGGACTCCTTTTCTAACCCCTCGGTAGTGGGGGGTAGGCAATATGTTCCTGAACGGCGTTACTGAGATATTCGGGACGGCTGCCGAACTTCATTGGTATGGTAAGAAAACTACATAGATGGGCATGGTTCATGAGTTAGATCACGAATGTATGGGCGGAAAACATCGGTAAGACAGACGGATGTGCGTTCATGGGTTGCCGCGGGCAACTTTTAGCATAACCAAGTTGCTTTCGAGAGTGCTCATGTAATTGAGAGACCCGGAAGGAAAACAGTCCAAAAGATAATTATGCTCCGGAAATCTTGTGCTAACTCAAGTAACCATGAAGTCAACTTATTTTAGGTCTCAAAAGCCGTCTGCATCACCCCAGCAACGCGAAATGGACGAAACAGGACGAAAACGGGGGTTCTGCGCATAGCCCATGCTTGAGCGCAAGTTCGAAACGCCTAATACATAAACTCCAGACCCAAAAAAGCAGCCTTTATTTTCCTATTTATGTTGGGCAACCAGCTGTAGGAATGACTCCTTAGTGGAGACGAGCCTATTCAGGTTTCAAGAGCCTAGTCTCGGACCTGATAGTCAAATTTTATGCGGATGATTAAACCGTGGTTCTACAGAATAATAACGAATTGGCTGCAACAAAGGCTTAAAAGTCCATCACAGAGCAAAATAAATAAGACCTAATGCACAAACGAGGGCAGATGAAGCGGAAACAAGAGACAGAAATTCAACGATATCGACTTACGAGTCACCGGAGGAGACTTGCTCTTCGACCAATTTAGTACGTTCTTCAACAATATCGACCAGCATTTTGAGGAGTTCGTCTTCTCGAGCTTTTTCTTCGGCCGTCCGAAGATGCTCTGGACAGGAAAGGGATAATAAACACGGGAGAGATGGTGGCATCATGACGCAAAAATAAAAAAAGTGGTGAATCAGTTATATGTGGAGACGGTCAATTGTGGGGTGTATATTGCAAGATCTCGGGAGGGCTAACTTAGGTGTCAACAGTTAAGTTACCAAAGCCCATTTTTCGGATGGTGGAGTCTAAATTACTAAACTTTCCCAATGGAATGACTAACAGGCTGAGAACGAAGGTCTTTAACTTGTGACGGCGATCATGAAGAGCACCAACATTTTATAAAAGACCTGGATATACCGGAAGAAGGGAATGTGGGGAGAACAGAACGGGGAAAATAAGTTATGCGACAAATAAGCAAAGGTGGCAAGCAGACCAAGATCGGTAACGGGAGGAAGTACATGCACCGACAAAGGAGGCATCCGAAAATACCTGATCACCCTTCGAAGGGTGTCAGTCATTTTCATACATCAAAAAAACTGCTACTGTTTGGACTAGAGGGCAGGTCGTCAAGTTAGCTTTCTTGGGGCAAGGTCCTCCATGGAAAGACTTCTTACGTGCCGGTTTAAGCCAGCTGTAATTTAGTAATCAGTCGAATTTGTGCTGCATTTTTCGACGATAAACAAAAAAAACGTGTCTGTTCGGTGTGCAGAAAAGTAACGCATATCGACGGGCGCATTTGGCACGAAGTAGTTTTTAAAATTAGCTCCCTTTAGTAAATCTAAGTGGGTTGAAGGTGGGTGTATTTCCTGAAATAGGACAATTTTGCAGCCCCTCCAGAAATGCATGAAATAGGGCCTAGAAAATGAACTGCACAGGTGACAGACAGAAAGACGTGAAAGGACGGATTAGACACCGGGGACGAACAGGTTACGCAAGGATGGCACCCAAATGACATTACCATCAACAGTAAAAATCTGATGGGTAAGGGTTGTCGCACAATTCTTAATGAAGTACTACAAGTCCCATTGTGAATTGTCATGGTCAGCTGTTAAGCTAAGTCAGCTCAAACATTATTGAGGTGATTGATTTTGGACAAACGTTCGGACGACACAACCGAAAGGCACCCTTTCAAAATTTGTACCTTTAGCATTACTCAAAAACGTTTGTCGGTGTTTAATTGTCACTCACTGTCCTTTTATAGTGATCGGCACCCTTCTGTATTCCCTGTAGGCATTTACATAGGGGTAAGTTAGCGCTGTTCCGAAATCCTCTTACTAATCTACACACGACATCCCACCCCTACCCGTCCGTTGTTGGGAGCTGATGGGAGGGCGAAAGATTTTTAGTGCTTGAAATAGCCACACGAGAAAAGGCACACGTCGATACGTCCGGCTTGCACTTCCGAATCCAATGGTAGGGATCGCGGGCGAGCGAACAAAGTGAATAACAAAGGAAAAGGGGCGATGAGGGCTAGGAAGACTGTGAAAACGACCATCTTACTTTGTAGGTCCTTGTGAGTAAATGCAGAAATGACACCAACAAGGACTCATAGGAAGAAATGGAAAGAAGCCTAGTTATGTGATACGGCTGACTAATCGGTTAGACCTCGTCTGAGGACCATCTTAGCGTGTTTTTACTCTCCGTCGTAGGCGTCGGCCTTAGGGGTGGCCAAAGGGAGCAAAAATAAGCCAGAAATAACTGCGGTCACAGTCTTCGCCGTCCTTGTCCATGTATTCTTATTGTTGTCTCAAATATTTCAACACTAATCAGTGCTCTAACCAAGAAATCCAACGTCTTGCAAGACAAAGAAATCAATACCTACAGAGAAGGAAAACTGCAGTTGTACGCTTTGAAACTGGGAGAGTAGGGCGTCCCATCTTTTATTCGAACAATCTGGCCTGCCTTCTATCAGCATTAAAGCCCACCTAAACGTCCTCCACGTTCCCACGTATGTTGTCCTTTTTATCGACACATTTTACTGTCTACTTTACACTTTTTGTTTTCTCTGAAAATAACGTCATTCAGTTATTCCCCAATCCTCGTACTATTTGGTCGAACCCCTCGTCTTCTTCCCGCGTAACTTGATACTACCGTTCTGACTATACGTCACACCTTTCCGACTGCAGACGTCAATACATTTGGGTGCAAGTGAAGTATTTAAATTTTACTAACCATGCTACATTATAGAACCGTGTTCCCGTCCAAATCTGTTTGTTTACACCGTTTCCACGTACGGGCGGCACAAAGAAAGCCAACTCAGGCCAATTAATCTAGACCGACTATAAAGCAGCTAGGTTAAACAGACTTGGTGTGAGTTACGCGAACGGGTCAACAGTCGGCGGTCGAATGTACTCTACACTCGGAGTATACGACCTGATGAACAGTACTTGTGCAGGACTGCGGTATATATATAGAGAGAGGATCTGACGGGTGGTTGGCTAGATAAAGTACCAACTAACTACTAAGGGGTAAATATTGCGCAACGGGTGGAAATGAACAATGACCGCAGGGTGTGAACGAAATGAAATTCAAAAAGTCCGTGCTTACCGATAACCGAAGAACACACCCCGCCAATAAACTATCCCTCAGTAATTTTTCACACTCAAAAGCCCGAACGAAAGAGACAATAAATGCAGAAATTAGTCCCACAGTGATGCAATCGCTTCTAGGAAAGTTGCAGGCTTGGTAAACTGGAATGCAGTCAAGACAATTTTAATTGGACGTGACTAGAAGGGCAGCATAGAGGTTCTATGGCGCATACTCTACACCACAGCCTCATACAGGATTCCCAGTATTCATGCAGCATTGTCAAACTTACTTGACGCAAAAAATAAAACGTTAAAACCGTAAGTTAAGAGTTCAGTGCTGAGTCGTAAAAGTTTAAGACACCGAAGAGAAAACGCAAAAATGGCAAACTGTCAGTCAATAACTAAAGTCCTGAAATCTGGTATTGTCCCATCTTTGCTTTCGGAGAGTGCCCAAATTCCACATAGAATTCAGGTAACCGGTAAAAGAGGCTAGTGATGAACAAACTCAGACAAATTAAAAAAGGTCTTGGGGGAAGCAAATATTTTCTATACGAAAAAAATTGGGGTAATAACAAAAGTGAAAAAGATGGGAGATTAGAGACCCGTCAGTAAAATAAGGAGCATGTCATACTGACAGGCTTACCCTGTTTAGCCAGTATTGTCCGTAATTCATATTCGAGGTCGGTGTGGCGGTCCTCCAGGGTTTGTCGCTGAAGCCTAGGAGTAGGAAGTAAGAAAAATGCCTACGACTAAAAAGAGCGAACCACGCAGTAAAAAAGAGGTACAAGGCTATTTCTCCCAAATCATAAATAGAGGGAGTTGGGACTGACAACTGTACATTTGGCCTTGTGGAGGCCGAAAGCATGACGCTAACAGAAGGGGTTTCAATAAAGAGCAAAAATTGAATAGATGGATCGTCTTCGTCGACGTCGCCGCCGCCGCCGCCACCGCCATCATCATCGCATCATTATCATCAGGAGAGGACTAACTGACCTCGTACGTTGGCAGCCTTCAAAGCGACAACCAACAATCATCATGCTTACCATCACTGTTGCTGGCCTAAACATGGTGACAAGCTGAACGACTACAGGCACGAGAAACCCCGTCTTTCCACTGCAAGTTGAAACTTACAACTACGCGCAAAAATTGCAAGCAGACCCGCGTGCACCAAAAAACCCACGGGGTCCTGGCCCGACGATAAGGGTGACTCTCAGGGGAAGAGGAACCAAAAGGAAAATAGGAGGTAGAGTGATGGGAATCAAATCAAGTTGATGAGGCCAGATAACTCAGGCATGATTACAGTCATAACGGTGTACGAGTAGATGACGACAGTTGCATGGTAACCCAAAACGGTCCACAGAAGTGTCATTCTAGTGAGAATCCATAACTTTCCCTCTGCTTTTGTAATGCGACCCAAATAAAAAGACGCGTTTCAGTTGATATTTTTGGAGAACACACCTGATTTTCATGTTGTTGGCGATGACTAACAATACATGCGGTAATGGCTGAAATTTTAAAAGGCATACGGTGCTTTACGCTACAAAGGACAAAAACAGGAAAAGGAGGAGTTGGATGTAGCAGGTACGGCATATGCCAGGATGGCAATGTTCAGCAATATTTCCAGGCTCAGGCATATTTTTCGATGACCGGCTAAACCGATAATAGTCATGTTTTATGTCTAGCACGCGATAGGCCTAATAATAGTTAGAATGTGATCATGAACCCTAGAATGCAAGTGTTCCTTTAAAAGCAGCATGAGCCTAAAATAGATGCTCAAGGTCCCATTTACTACGTCACTGGAATCACTCATAAAAAATAGTACACTGGTTCCCGTTAATAACAGCATTTAGCTTATCCGCAAAACTCAAATTACTGACCAAGGCGTTTTGTTTATCTTACTCACAGCAGCCGCTTTTCCCTTCCCCAAGCAGCCCACTAAACAATTGGCAGTTGATGCGCCAAAACGTTCTTGGGTAGGCGTACGACAGTTTGCGCAGGTGAGGTCACATGACTCTACTGCTTGCGCCTGTCTGCGAAACGCGACATTGATAAACCACCTAAATGACTCGTCAAGATAACTTATGCGGGTGATTCTTCTTAAATGTGGGTACCAGAGGATCTCGGATTTAAGTACGTCCTCAACTTACGCCGGCCATGACTGCGCCTTCTAGAAAGGTGCTGACAAAGTGAATTTAGATTATGCTAGCTCCGCAATAGTTAAACTAAGAGTTACAGCGGTAGGCAAGACCCAATCTCATTATCATAGTCAAAGAACGGCACACAGCGACTCCTCATCTACTTTTTTGTAGAAGCATTCCGCGAGTCTCTCCCTCTTCCCTTCCCTCAACTAGAAGGCTTTCTGACGGCTGTCGATGCAGTGCCTGACTGGAAATTGTTTTTTTTTCGCTTGCCTCTGACTGAGCATCTGGGCTCAGCTACCAAGTGGGCGGTGGGAACTACAGTCCTTGGCTGGCTGTTGTGGTAGAACAAGCCTTCAGCCTTCACTCTTGGTGGTCCACGGCGTGCTAAAAGCTGTGACTTGGAAGACTGCCAAATGACGGTGTAACTCGGACGAAACAGTCGGCGCAAGTCACTGTCACTGCTCCCACCGTGCTGTGGGACACACGTGGTCGACTGTCCGGATCTCAAATGCAATAGAGGAGCCACATGGAGGAGTCGAAGAGCACACTTCTCACTAACGTAGGAGGTGCCGGTGATGCATGATGTTGGAAAGGCTCGCATTTGGTGCATCTGTTGATGGGGAGATGTGTGGTGATGTGATCAAGCCTGCGGTGACTTACCGCAGATCTTCGTAGAGGCGCATGTGACCGAGTAGGTCCAGGCAATGGCCGAATGAGCGAGGGCAATTCGGTCGTTTGAGGCCATGGCGACGGGTACATTTTGATGCTCCAGGCACTGGTTCGTTAGTCTCTCTGCAATGCATTTGCAAGTGCGCTCACTAGGCCGATGCTTAAGGCGAATGTGCGTCGGTAGTGTTGGCCAAGATAGATTGAGAGATGGTAAGTCGGTCGCCGTTTTCGTGCTGCTACTGGTGGCCGCGCTGGTGGATGGGGAGCTGGTAGGGCTGGGGATGGGGGAATTTTTGAGTGCGCAAGGTATGCTAGTGCGTCAATACTGCGACGAATTTTGTTGCTGTGGAAACGCATGTGACCGAAAAGGCCCAGGGATTGAGTGTGGGTGGACAGTGCGGACGGTGAAGGCAGATGCGACGAATGAACGTAGGGATAACTGGCACTGGTGTGTCGGTCGCAGCGCGATAAACTTGCGAGTGACCAACGAAGCCGACGTATGAAGCGAGTGTGCGATCGTGATCAGGACAGGCTGGAACCGGGTCCATATCGCTGGTACTGGGGCGGTATTCGTGGGGATAGACGTGGACGAGGCGTCGGGAGCGTCCTCAACGGTGGCGGGAGTGGGGAAGCTGGTCGTCATCGAGATCATCGTGGCAGGGGTGATGGAGATGGCGATGATCTACGGCGGCGGGGTATCGGGTGTGGTCATTAGTGGTGAGGGGGGTCGTACTCGTGGACATAGTGAAGGCTGGCGTAGAGGGGACGATGAGGACGATCGTAGAGGCAGCCGTGGGATCGTTGTTATACTGGGTCCTGATATGCTGAATGAGACCAGTTCGTGCGCGAAAAGTTCGTTGGCAACGTGGGCATGAGGGAAGAGTTTGGGAGTCGGCGTTGTGGGTCGAGGGGCGCTTGAAACTTATGAGCCGCTCTTTCCGCTTTGGCAGCGGCTATTCGGTTGGTTTCACAGGCTACTGTTCCAGTCTTCATTGCTCTTCTCTAGGCAGATCAGCATGTTTGACGTCTTTTGACAAGCACCCGTAGCGACATCTCCAAAGAGTCGTTTGGACAGTCGCTCACCGCCATGCCCACGAGATGGCTGCTCTATCGCAGTTGCAGTTGCCTCAACATGGCGTGAATGCCGAGGATTCCGGTCCGTTCCAAAACGTCCGTGTCCGGAATCACTGCCTGTCATAGTCACTTATTCGTTCACCGTGGTAAGTTAGAAAACGGGAAAGGGCATTTGTGTCCTCTCCAGTTTTGGAAAAATGTGAACTTGGTCTTGACGCAGACTAATCGCTTATACATGTCAAATTACACTTCCGTTTTGGTGGCAATACTTCCATCCTTATCAAGCATTACAGGGGAGCTATTGGTGACCTGAGCAGGAAGTGGATTAAAGTGTAGGGAATTTACGTGGCATTGACCTCACTCTCAGACGCTGAGAAACTGCACCGACAAAAGCAGGGGCAATGAGATGGCCGCTTCTGGCTTATTTGTCGTCAACATCCGGTGACACGCCAACCACAAGCTGTACGCCCGAGGTTTGAACACGTGTCAGTTGATCCCTACAATGCCTTCGCCACTGCATCACGAGCTCACGCCGAGTCAGCTGAGATCGGGAACATTCAAGCCACTGAGAGCGGCATGCACTGATATCACCTAACTGTGGAGCGCAATTGGCCATCTAAATCTGGTCTCGGAGATGAGGTAAGGCAGAGCTGAAGTCGAACAGAAGTGTTCGTGTCCGTTAGGCAACTTAGACAGGCCGAAGAGCGCCAATCTTACGTGATTTCCTCACATCTGTCGAGAACGGACAGTTGATCCGGCCTTAGATTCGGCGCAGGCGTGTGCATGTTTTCCCGATCAATACAAGAAGGCCGTACTCGCTGCCAGTCAGCTGTCTAATGGGACATCCAAATGTACACCTATGAGGTCCATATGGACATATTCAGTATTGTGATCTAAGATTATTCGCCGAGAGTTGGAGGTTGTAGGCGATGGCCATCACTATTAGAATGCCATCAGTGAATGTTTCTGATTTGGCATAGACCGCAAGAGCGAATTAAAAAGTAGGATGACTGCTATGGAGCACACGTAACCTCCCAGAGCACCTACGCCAACCGAGCAGGAGGTGCGTATAGGATGACGGTTTTTGATCGCTTCACTATAAGTTTGAGAATGTCCCAAGGAGTGAATAAACAATCAAAGCACCACAGCGTAACCTCAGTCATACCCGTACATCATGGTAGAAGGGCCCTTGTAAGGAAGCCTGAGGTCAAGCTCAAAAGAAGATGTTCTGCAGTGTATACGCGAACTCCTTGTCTGTTACCGAAATCGCCGAAAAGTCAGGCTCTTGGTTTTCAGTTTGATGTCAAAACAGCCTAAGGAGGAGAAGCGAGAACTGCTGCCTTTCCACATGGCTGGAGTTCACGTGCTGGACCGCCGACGAGAAAGGCGGTCGACACGGCAGAGTTTGTGTGAATGAGGCATTGACGCCCACTAAGTCGACGGAAATTCCATCGGTAAGGTCGGCCGGACTGATATTGGAGGTGTGCATTAGGGAATCTAAACCATTAACACGAATAATGAATGCGTTTTGCTTTTTCTAAAGTCATTTTATTTACTCCAGCATGAAGTAAGGTCCCAGTAACCCTAGAGGCCCAAAAGCTGAAGTGTACCTTAAGTTAATAGCTGAATGCCTTGCAAAAAATCAACAGCCTTTTAACGCAGGCAGAACCAAGGTTTAAACACCACAGAGTGTAAAGAGATTGTTAGGAATGTCCCAGTTTTTAGATCCCAATGTTGGCAGCAAAGTGGTCTTACTCTTTCAGACAGACAAATGCATCCAACGAAAAGTATTATAAAATAAAAGCTAAATTTTACATCGTGAAATAACATATGCATTCCACGATAACCCACGTCCAGCTCAAGCACGCCTTATAATAATGCAAAGAAAGTTTATCGACAGTAGAAAATGAAGGTTCCGTCCTGGCGGCAAAACGCCTGCCAAGGGACTATGACTCCTTAAGTAAGTCGAAACTAAGGCGATTATATCGGCTTACCGAATCTTAAGAGCTTGTTGTTTCTGAACGAGAGCAGTCCGCTTCTTTTGCAGCTTCTCAACGGCCCTGGAGTACTTCTTCCGATGTAGTGAGTTCAATCCAACTAGAAAATTGACCAGACATTAGTGTAATGCCACTTCTCTGGCAGAGGAAGGTTGCACAAATCTGGAAATGTGTTAAAAGCAGATGCATATTGGCAGGAAAGAAAATAAAAAAATACATAGAAAACTAACTTTTAGCAAGTTGATTACTCGCGTCGTTCAGCGCATCGTCCACATGCACAATTTTTTCAGAAATCTCTTCAATACGTTTACGAAGAACGTCGTACTTCACAAAACCGGTGGAACTTTCCGCACGTACTTGCCGCTTTTCCGTGTGAGGCAGAGGTGGGGCCGGTCCTTTGGAAAGATGTGGACGGCAGTTCAGCGAGTTGTCAAGTGAAGCGGAGAGCTGACGGGAGCACTCCAGGGGATCCTTCCTCGGAGATGGATGACCTTGACTGAGTGTACCGCCCTCGCAAGGCAAGGCGAAAGTTGTGCGAGTCCAACCATCGGAGACCTCCGATGAGATATGTGATTCCGTGGAACTGTAGTAGTCGGAGCTAGTAGTTTTAAAGGAAGGATCATGTGCTCGGATTGTCAGAGGTGAGGGAGAGGCATGCACAGACGGCGGTGGTGGTGCGTGCCGCTTCTGGCGATGACGAGGATATACGCCCGCAGTTGGCAAATTAGATGCTCTGAAAGGTGTTGGGGACCATTCATCTCGTGGTTTGTCATCATCCTCATCATCACTGTCGACTAAGTCATCAAACGGATTTTTCGGAACCCCCACGTTGGAAGTTGCCTGTGTAGCCCTAAACTCAGGGATTTCTCTTACGGTTTGCCTTCCTTCGTCAACTGTTTGCGCGGTACGAAGTGATGGGCCAGCATCAGTAGGTGTGACGTCGTCTGCGGTTTGAGGTTGGAGGGTAGCATTTACGACAGCTTTGTCCTCATCAGTAGGGGTCAAGGTATCAAAAGGATTGATTGGCTTCGAAGGAGTATCGCTGGCGGACAAAGAGTCAACCGGCGAACCTCCTCGACAGGCTGCAGCTTCGACTGAGACAGAGGCCCTGGGCGGCCTTTCATCCGAGGTCGCCGGAGCATAAACGAGGTCAAGATTGTCGGGCGTGTTGGCACTTGTGCCAACCGGAGATACGTCTGAGCAGCTAGTAGGTGGGCTAGTGATAGTGTGGTCTGAATCAAGTGTCTCATCTTCATCGTCATCTCCGAATGGGTTTCTGCCTTTCGGATATTCTACTGCGGCAATGCTTCGATAATGTGCTTTGGTGTATGTTATGGGCGGCTTGGGACGAGGTGGAGGAGCCCTTGACCCGAGCGGGACGGTTTGATGAAGCGATTCGGTCGTCATTGTAGACAACCATGAAGAGGGAACAGGTCCTGATATTTTTACCTATATAACATGAAACCAATAAGTTGGCAAGCGAAGGCCGTTAACAATCGAAGGTTGTTAGAAACAAAGACACAAAAATGTCACGTGAAAAATAATGTAACACTTAGATAATAATTCACGGGCAGAAGGAATGCTGATTTCTGTCAGCCAGACATAAGCAAGTCTTTAAAAGATTAGGTGTCGACGCTTTTGTCAACTGGCCTTCAATGACAAGTATGGCTGATAGGATCCGCAAAAAACTCAACATTTAGATTTTCTGTTGATGACAATGCAAAGTGAATTAGGATATTTTGCATTTCTAAGATCACTAGTGTCCATCAAAAAAACTGCTGAAAGCGATTCTAGTCCCAGAAATTTCGTCAGCTACACGTGGAGAACACAAAAAGTTCGTTTTTTTAGTGTGCGCTGTCTAAAATCTCGGGGACCTGGAATCGCTTTAATGGTCAATATTGACTGTGTGGTAAATGCGTTTTTGCGATGCTTATCAACTGGTGTCAAAATCACTATTATTGTTGTTATTACTGTTATCATTAGACTCAATCTTACACAACACACGTTTTCCGCTATCAGAGGAGAATGGCGCGGGATATTGGATACATTGTAGTAACTCAAAAAGGAAGGTCTGGGATTACGTGTGACCGTGCCAAACAGAGCTGCTACGCTTTAAGACTTTATTTAGGTAAACCACGGTGCCAACATGTAACGTGTTCCTCGAAACTTCACATGTGAAGGAAAAGAGCTACTGCAAACTAACAACCTGACCGACGTAAAATCTGTCGATGAATGTGCTGTTGAAAGCAGTGACAGAAAAGGAGAGACACAAGTTTGTGCTCAACAAGGTCGGATCCGAAAAGGCCTGCAGAAGGGCGTTTCACACCAACAAGTGTAAAGTGATCCATCGAGCTAGGGATGGTGAGGTCGGTGCCTGGTAGCAATAACTCAACAACATGAACGTTGTTCCATGAAATGCAATCAACGAAAAAGAAACTTAATATTTCAGGCTTAATCATCTGCGATGCTAAAAATATGCTCGATTGACGGAGGAATGATATTTTGAGGGTCCAGGACTGACCAATACCACTTTTTGAGTAATAACACGGGAAAAGGCGTGCCCGCTTCAGTAGCAACGGACGAGTTGACAACATTTTCACAAAAATCCCTACATTAGGACGGCAGTTTACTTAATTTTCACAGTTTCCGCTAACTAAAGATTGTTGGTGTATGTGTGACCGCCGTCCACCGACGGGGATATCGCCCAACAGAATAAGAAATTGGACACTGTCGGTGAGCTGAGTTGTTAGCTGGTCTCATCCACCGTATGGTCGGACATCTAAACCCTGACGAATGTCCGGCGAACCATCACGACCCATTCAGGGACTCGAAGTCGATCCGCGGCATGCCAGTAGGCTGGCAGTGTTGCTAGATCAAGAGCAGCAGAACTGATCATGGAGCTGACGACAAAGAAGTTACCAGAACTACCTCTGAAGTCGGCCTTGGATGATCCAAGATACCCTTGCGACGTCGCAACGAGTCTAGACTGACTCATTTGAGACGGGGTTGGAGTACGTGACCAAAGACCTTCGGTAAGACTTATGGTGCGAATGCTCTCGGATGCTTTCTTCTCTAAGACAGAATGGTCAATCCTCAGCCACCAAGAACGAGTGGTTCTCTCCATGGCGCTGGTGCCAAAGCAAGACATTTAAAGTTAACCGGGTATACCCTCCTTGTCGGTCGCCCCGTTGCTGCATAGCCCCAGTATTGCATCGATTACTCTGTAGTGGTCAAGGACGTGAGATCAATTTAAACCACATACAATAATTTTGCTCCAGAGAGAGAAAGGGACAGAAAGAGTCAAAGGGACAAAACTTTGATGCAAAGAAAAGGAAGATGATAATGGGTTAGCCATTGAAGTTGAGAAGACGTTCAAAGCGTTGGCGCCAACACCCCCACCCTGACTTAGTCGTCAGCGATATAATATTCATTCACATCGCAGACAGGGCCACTATGGGCGGGAGACCTAACACTAGCTTAGCGAACAACGTGGTTGAGTTTAGCGAGTACAACCAGCGTTTGAGTCCTTCTCAACGGAAGGTGCCATTCCAAATGAGTGGTTTTCGCGTTCATCTCTTTCTGAATTTGCTTACATTTTCCGTAGTTGGCGGAAGGAATCATCAGTACAGGGCCTGGTTTCAGATGTCTGAGCCGACAACTGTACGGTCCAAGCACAGACTCAGACAGTGCGATGTGACCGTTAGTTATGAGAATTATCTATGCTAACCCACGGACTCTAGTGACAACTGCTTGCTACTGCCACCACCTTCGACACGGACCGTAAGGCGAAACGCGACTTCTGTAGTCGGCTGAGTTCAGTTCCGACGAAAAACCATCGTGCACAACACGCTTTTGGAACAGATGAGAAGTGAAATTCCAGGTATGTGAATGAGAATATGGTTTGGCCTATAGGCGTTGCCAATCTCAGCGCCATAAACTGAATTGTCGTCACGAACCAAACTAGGAGATCCGGAGTTGTTTTATCTAGCCGGCATGGATGGTCGCACGACCATCACTGAATATCAAAGTGACACATGATCGCTGTCGCTAAGGCACGTGTTGGTGGCAACCAGACGGTTCTGGTTAACGTGAGTTAGCGTCCTTTTACTGCTGTCGCATTTGGAATAAAGTCCAAACTGACCAATAAGGTAATGAGTAGATGAGTTAAATTGTCCAGTCTGAGTATTCCGATTGTCTGCAAAAGATCATGACGAGGGCGTCTTCCAATTAGTTCTTCCAGTAGCAATTAACAGGTATATTTTCACGTGGGTTAGCAGCTGATATCGACGTAAAAAAGAAACTAAAAAGAGATGTTAATGCTTTTTCAATCGTACATAAACTAGTCAGTCACTGACTGGGTGTCACGTAAGCGATGCACGGCTGGAACGTTCCGAGGATGGTCGTCGCACTGCTTGGCAGAGGGGTTGGCGTAGGCCGCCGTGATAGATAATGAAGTGGGGATGACCCCCAGAATCTCGAATTCCCAAGTCCGGTTGGATGATTTAACCTTGCTACAGGTTGTACTTTGAAAAGCCACACACAGTCCGACCTTTGGTACCAGGACCAAGGCGCTCTGATTATTCTAACATTCAATACTAAGGGTCCTTTACCAATGGAGCAGCCTGGCCCGTGCATTATTCGTCCGCAGAACTGGATTGGGGTTTCGTGACGCGTCAGTCCCCGCGTATGTCGCCGTAGTATTGATTGTACTACGGTGTTGGAACATTTTCATGAGATTTATAGGGGATTTTGAGCATAGGCGGGACCGCAACAGTCATCCGAAGTGCTTGATTGAGGCTGTCTCGCCAAATGCTTTGACTCAAAAATTTGACCTCAAAGGAACAGCGTTACGCGAGCACCTAATGGCAGTTTGTGGTTAGGCCATATGGTATTTTACAAGAATCGACGTATCAGACCTCATCATACCGAGTCCTGGCAGTATTATCACAAGCCGCGACTTATCCATCGGGCTAGAGAGCCTTCGTGTTTCGCAGTTAAACTATAACAAAAACCATCCCATTATCCGTCACCCATGGATGCGCCGGGTTGACCATAGTTAAGCTAACGGGTAAACTGGTCTTTTAGGTAGGGTGGATGCCTAGAATTAAACTCCCAGCCCAAAATCAACACAAACTGATAGATGCCAAAAAATTAAAAAGGTGGATCCAGAACCCCTTTATCCTCAACCACGTCAGACAAATATGTGAAAAACGCACGACATCAGGTCTGCCATTGCGCTGGCAACCAGTCCGAACGGCGTTCCAAAAAATTTATAAACATTAAAGAGACAAGCTAAAGATGGTCCACTAACGTCTTATTAAACGCTGACCCCTCAGGCGTGGTCATATGGTCCCGTCCACCGCCGTATGGCCTCGCCTTTGGGATGGGGCCATGTCCCAGAAGGGAGTCAGCTTTGACGGGTAAACTGCAGAACTATTTGACCTTACGACAGAAACTGAAACATTCCTGCATGTCTGTTGCCGTTTTAAGACACACAGCTATCCGAGCTGCTCTAATTAATTTGGGTATCATACAGCATTTTCCACTTGGGATATGCTGTATGGGGGAGTAATTGGCCAACTCATGTTAACACCGAACTATACCTTTATTTTCCATAAAAAGGGTCGCCATACCCAGTATTCGCTTACCAATGGTCGAAATGCATACAACGCAGATGAACAGTGCTTCTACGACCAAGGCACACAACGGACCACACCATCACACCTTATACGCCGGAAAACAGCACGGAAGCGAAATATAACCAAGAAACAAACTACATAGAATTATTGATTTGAAAAAAGCACAGAGGCCAGTTTTGACCGATGCGGAAAAACGAGGGAGCCAAGAGTCGAGTACGCCTTCTAAAGAAAGACTAGAAGTTAAGGGTGCTTTGTAAGACGACATCAAGTAGTTTTTATGAGGTTACCTGCAGGAAACTCTGACTAAACCAATGACTTCCTTGAAATTATGCCAAATATCAGGTAAATCACCTAGGTTCATCATAAATAGCAAGGTCTAACTCTCCTAACTCAAATTCAGACCTCTAAATACACGAAGGTTGGTGTGACTGTGGGGCTTGAACTTTAGATCCTTTTATGTTAAGCTGTCAGAATACCCCTTTACATTTGGGCACAGGCTGACTCCCGATTCAGACAATAACGAGGACGACGTATACCCTGGCAGACTGCCTGAGTGAAGACTGGCTAGTTGGCCAACGCCGCCACCAATCCGCCAGTAGGCCTGAATCCCTCAAATGACACGTAGGACAAGATAAGACGAAAATCTGCTAAGCAACTCGCTCCCATGGAGTATGCTAATCCAGCCTGCACCGGTTGCTCCCTTCCAGTAAGCATATTTTACTTATTTACCTTTTGGGACGCCAAAAAACTCTCCGAATCTGCCCACAACATTGCAGTTCTCAGATTCATTGAGAAGTCGAGGGCCTCCGGTAAGAATATTAATTATATCATTATTTTAAAAAGTAGATTGTGTGGTCGAGCTGTTGGTCAAAAACTTTAATGAAATACAACCTAAGGGAACCTTGGCTGAAATTCTGCGAGCAGTATAGATGAAGTCTATTTCTGCCAGACAAACAACAATACTTTTGAATCTGCTACTGTACACTGAGGAGGAATACAATTATTTTGTTAAGTTCATAAACCGATTTCGCACAGGAGGTGGTAAGTACACGAATATGTCTGCACACTTATAACGAATATGTCTGCACACTTATAACGAATCGATTGTTGCAGGACAAGATGAGTGCGAGTTCCTTAGAAATATACTGACTTTTCTGCTAGGTCACTTCTCTGCATCAGCTTCTGCTTGGGAGGATCAAGAGAAAAAGTCGTCCCCCGGTTGTCCCCTCCATACTATCTTCTCCAGCAGGTCAATTTTTTATTAACATCCGCAGACGCCATTAGGTTTAACCCAACTTTCAGTAAGTCTCCAAGTGAGGAACTTCGAAAAACCGCCATTCCCTGGTTCCACGAGTCAGAGACAGGCGCGGCGGAAAATCCAGCCGACAAGAAGTCGCCGAGGTAATTCGAAAAATTTGATTATATTCCACAATTAAGCAACTGTGAGGGACAACCGTCACCGAGGTTCGTCCCCATCTGTCCCCGACAGAAGACATGGTTATTGCGCTTACATTTTTACTATTAATGCTGCTTTCGCAACGGACTTCATATATCTTTCATTATTCTTTTTGACTACCTAAGAAGACACAAAAGTTTGTTTAAATTATAAATAAAAAAACCTCCTTCGTATTCCCGAATACTATCACATGAACTACTTAATATACGTGATTACTATTATAATCTATGCTAATAAATTAGTATGAAAATAAGCTAATGTTCTCGTTTGTCTAAAGCAGCCTGCTATGCAAACGGAAGAACTGAAAACCCCTGTCTTGTACAAAATTCTGATATTCCTTCACTGTTATTCTATTCACCAATCAATATCTCCCTCTAATTCCAATCAAAAGACTTGCGTTATGATATTCGTCGTTTCGTCGACAAGCATCTGCTTGCGTCATAAATCGGTTGGGTTGGGGAAAACCTGTGTTGGGCTTAATTGTGGTTGGTGTGCCATACTCAGTGGTGGCTCGGCAGTCCATGTATGTCCGGCGATGGATTCCATATCGAAAAATGGAACCAGGAATGAGTGAAAAGTCAAGCACCCCTGCGCATTCTTCTCGTTGATGGGGCCAACTGGGCCACATCCGCCCATGCCACGCCGTAGCCCTGTCTTGTGGCCCAACCCAGCCCAACCGTAGCCACATCCAGCCCAATCGGGAAAGAGCGGGCCGGGTTGGGCTGGTGCTGACAGGAAATGAACATAAAAAATCCTGGATGAGGACCCGCTTCGATTCGCATTTCCGCATTCTTGAATAGATTTCATGCAGATAAACCGAGGACATGTAGGTTGTGTGTCTTGTTTTCTCTTAACAGACGAAATTAGCTTCGCATTTCCCAACTCATAGACAGTCATTTACCCTGTAGTACAGAAGTTCTAATACCGCAGACGGGTATTTATGAACATGTGGAGGCGCTTTGCATTCAGCATACTGGACAGACATCGATCGTGCCGCGACGAATGGCGCTGTTTTTTTTTGTAAACACTTAAACTACAAAGCAGTTGCAAAGTATCCAGCTGAAAAACTCAAGCTGAAACTGAGCAAAAGCCCTACTGAGAGTGAGGAATATAGGTAGGAACACCGCTAAAGACATGGGAGACAAGAGGGATTTCCGGCCTATTAGTCGTCGTCAGTCAACCATAGTCAATCCCAGATTTTCACGATCTGAGATTCTGTATTCATTGCTGTATCATTTTTGGCGGCTATGCTGCTGCCTGTAATGGCTCCTGACTGAGCACGAATGCGCCAAATGAACTAACATTCAAGGGGAGCCAATCGACGAACGCCCTACCAGGATACCACGGGAACTACTTTTGCTGAGGGCTGGCTGGCACTGCAGTAACCCTCGTGCGTTTACTAGGGATTCCATGTTTTTTTTTAAAAGAGCCAAGTCTCAGGCTCACAATAGGTGTGGTGCGCTCAAAAGTGTCCTACAGAGACCGTAAGTAGTTACCTCTCCGGGTGACGGACTTCCCTTAACTAACCCCCAAAGACGGCATGCTAATTTTCATGATACTGGATTTATTGCCAGTAGCATACAGGAAACGCTGGGTGTTAATTGCGCTACTACTTCCAACCAAATCCCATTCGTAATGGGAAGATGTGGGAAGCCAGTTGGAAAGGGGATTTATTCTGAACAGAATAACAGTGGGAAGCTGGCAGATGGACGAGAGTGCGTCAGGCGCCGCGAAAGTGGCGTCTGCATAGGAAGGTATGGCGGCCAGCAACAGGACATTCAGGCTCGACCCCGAATGGGAAAAGGAATTGTTGGTTACCAGTCGGAAGGCTGCTGTAGTTTCTGCAGAAAGATTGAAGAACCGGTTAGAATAGGCTGGCAGCCAGACGTAAGCACGTCCAGCTCTCTGAGGGCGGCGTTCCGAGTAATAGTGGTGAATGCGTCACAGTGCCTTAAACGAGACCACATCTGTGTCGATGAAGGAGTTGATTGTTTGGTTCGGACAGCCGTGATTGGCCGAGAACCAGACTTCTACCAGTGTGCACATGCAAGTGCTCGCAAAGGGCACAGAGTTCGAACAGGCCCGCGGAGTAAAACTGTAGTGGCCCTACTCCGAGCGCCTGTCTCAGGGCTAGGCCTCTGGTGAATGTCTGCCCATGCGCACCAGGGCTGTCTGGTATTCATCCGCTCGTCTTTCCAAACGACCAATCAGTATCAAGGCCGGTCAGACGTGGCTGTCTTAGAACATTTTTACGCATTCCTTGACGGACAACTGGAGCGCTGCTCTCCCAGCGCCAGACTTGCTCTCGTCCGTCTGCTAACTCTCTCCAGCCCCGCATCCAGTTATTATGCACAGAATAAACAATCCGCCCAAATGACGTCCACCTTCACTTCTCGTTCGGGACAGGGCCTGAATGTCGTGGTAGCCAGGATCTCACGTGCGGCCTGGCCTGCCGCGATAGAGCTACAACAAGTTCTTTTTTCAAAAGGCAATTTGGCGAGCATACGTTTGCTTTCGATAAATTCTCTTCAGGCCTGTACATTTATATGGCTATTGAAGTAATGAATGCAAAAGATACGGGTAGATAGGGGAGGGGGAGCTAGAGTTAGAAACACAATTCGAGAATCTCTTGAATCAAACACATGACCTTCAGCCAGTTTCGACAGAGCGCGTACAACATCTTAAGTCTACGTTAGTCAATTGCTCTTACCAATACCTGAACAGTCGTCAGACATATCGGGGCTTGCTGACAAAGTCACACATTGAGAAGTTAAAGCAGCTCCGGCAGAACAAAGACGTTCTGATAACTAGGCCAGATAAGGGAACCGGCGTTGTTTTGATGGACAGGGTAGACTATATTACGAAAATACAGTCAATTCTGTCGGATCAGGCAAAGTTCCGAAAGACAGAGAAGGAGAAGGACCGTACAGACGAGATTGAAGCACAACTGACTGACTGCTTGAAAAGACTTCAGGCGGACGGTTGCATAAGCGAACACGACGTAGAGCGCCTCCGACCCGTCGGTACGCATATACCTCGATTATATGGTTTGCCGAAGATCCACAAAGATGGCGTACCGGTTCGCCCAATCCTCGATATGAGAAACTCGCCGTACCATGCAATAGCGAAATGGCTGGCGGAGAAACTTAAACCTCTGCAATATCAACTAGCGCCACATAGCTATCGAGATACTTTTGAATTCATTAACGGCGTGAAAGACTTTGATCTGAACGAAATGGTTATGTTTTCGTTAGATGTCTCGTCCCTTTTTACGAACGTACCGGTAATGGAAACGGTCAACTACCTTTGTGATTTCATTGCCGACAATCAACAGGATATAGGACTGCCAGTAAATGCCCTCAAGGAATTGTTATTGAGGTGTACCTTGAACGTACAGTTCCTATTCGACAACAATCTATATAGGCAGATGGACGGCGTAGCAATGGGCTCGCCCCTTGGCCCGCTTTTGGCGAATATCTTCATGGGAAAATTAGAAGCTGTCCAGTTACGTCACCAGATCAACGGTCTAAGATACTATGGGCGATACGTGGATGATATATTCGCGATTGCACCGAAACTAAGCGACATCTCAATTCTACTGGATGACATAAATCAAGCGCACCCATCAATAAAATTCACTCTGGAAGAAGAACAGGCCGGTTCACTTCCCTTTCTGGATGTGCTTCTGAGTAGAAGACCTGACGACAGCATTCGACGTAGCGTTTATCGTAAGAAAACGTGGTCCGGACAATACACCCATTTTGGGAGTTTTGTACCGCTAAACGTTAAACGTAATTTAGTCCGCTGTTTGACAGAAAGAGTGAGAAGAATCTGCTCAGCCGATAGCGTTGAGAAAGAGCTTAAGATCATCGAAAGCCTATTTCGCCAAAACGGGTATCCTGACCGATTCATCGCTAAGAACATGGCCGAAAGACCGCAAAAGCCCCGATGCTGACGGCGGAAAAGAAAAGGCTCTTTATCAGGGTCCCATTTCAAGGGGATGCACCAAGTGAACTTCTGAGAAGACGCCTAACCAAAGCTGTAGCACAGACCTTTCCAGCAGCTGACACCCGTGTATTGTTCTCCACCAGTCCCATCCTATACGGAGAGGGCAAGGACAAATTACCAGCTCAGACCACCTCTATGTGTATCTACTCCTTCACCTGCTCCTGTGGGGCAGAATATATTGGTCGCACGAGCCGGCGTTTATCCAAAAGAATGAAAGAACATCTCCCAGCATGGTTAGGAAAGGGACAAATTAAGAACATCAACAGCTCGATCCTCGCGCACATGGTAGACACAGGCCACCGTGTAGACGCCACAGAGGCCTTCAGAGTGATCTACAAGGTCCCATCAAGCTATCCAAAACTGCTTGGGCAGCGCTTGTTGGCAACGGCAGAGGCGGCTGCAATTAGGCTACGCCGGCCGGTCCTATGCGCGCAGAAGAATTTCGTGCAGGCCCCACAGTTACCATGGGCCAAAGCCACCAAGCCAGACACCCGCATGTAACTGCATTCGCCGGAACCCACCTTCCCCCTGGCGCCGACTGGAATTATGGTGTCTCACCCTCCCCCTCCCCTACCCTCCCCTATCTACCCGTATCTTTTGCATTCATTACTTCAATAGCCATATAAATGTACAGGCCTGAAGAGAATTTATCGAAAGCAAACGTATGCTCGCCTTTTGAATTGTACAATGGGAATTTTCGCAACTCTAAAAAAGTTCTTTTTTTCCCAGATCAGAGTTTGGGTGAACGATCCGAATGGAAGAGGAAAAGCTAAACCGAATGAATGAGAAAAGCACCAAACAGTAGTGTTTTGGGCAGCGTGAGTGGACGCGGCCGGCAAGAAGTAGCCCGAATAAAAGTGGCAGCTGGAGATATCCGTTTTTTGAGTCGTTGGTTTGGATGTCGACGGCAAAGTCTTCTGCTGTGTTGGCATTTGTTGGTTTGAGTAAAATGATGCCGCTGCTGATAGAAGAGGTAAGGACACTGGTGAGGACAACTTGTTGCTGACAATGATGGAGGGATTGCTTTGCCAGGCTGAAGAAATAAATAAATAATTTTTATAAAAGACCCATTGGGGTCCGATAAAAGCAATTTAAAATAAATTTACATGTGAAATTTAGACGATGTAGGCAGAAACTGTAAAAAAATTCAATTCATAGTTTCTGAATTAGTAGTCCGTTAAGAAAAGTGATGAGCAGCAGTGAAAAAACCTCCACCATAGAACTTGAAAAATGGTGAGATTAACTTTACAGGAGAAAGGGAAACTGTCACTTATTAAATGATAAAAATGTGAACAGGACTCGCCTGAGTGTGGCGGTGCATACGGGATTATAATCAGACATCTACAGGGCTGAAATAAATGTCAGCCTTGGGGGGTAAGTACGCGGGTCGGATAGGACTGGACTGCATGTGGTATTGGATATGGGATTCAGAACTGACATTGTCAGGGCAGGATTGATACGCCCGATAAGACTATTCGCGTCAAAGAGGCCAGACGAGAGGACTCCAGACGCGATCGGCCACAGTACGCTTCGAGCCCAGCCGAGCAGTGGGGAAGGAAGGTACCACCAAACTACTATAGATGGCGAATACTGAGGGTTTCGCCGTGAGCGTCGACAGACGGCTTGAGGTCGAAATGAGAGAGATGACATCACTAACCTCGAAAATCGTCGCTATGGGGGAGTAGTGGTAGTATTGGATTTCGCAAGCTATTCAGAACGGGGGATCGTAAAGCTATAAAGGAGGGTTTCCACTTGATCTACCGTTAAATCCCAGGAGGACCCTTCTAGAAGTCAAGAAGCTGAGTGCTCAAGAATAAGACGGTTAAACGTGCTTTTATACTTTCCGGTGTAATATGTTTTCGTTATTTCGACTAGAATCCCAGTAACTTAGGCGATGACCTAATTTCTGGCGGAAGATTATTAAAAACGAAGGCATATTTGGAAGCAAAGAAGAGGGAGCGCTTAGATGTAGTGCAGAGAGGCGGCGGAATCACCATGGAGGAGTTGCGCGTGGCATAAGACTAAGCTCTCGAAGTGGGAGTGTCAATGGGCGGAAGACTGGAGCTAGAGTTGATGCGAAAAAGGAAGCAAAGGCCGGCTTCGAGTCTTCTAACCCATAAAAACTTAATGTTCGCCAGCTGATATCATTGAGTATAAGAAGTACCGGACGAAACTTAAGAGAACAGTTTCCATGTGAAAACCATCTGAACATTTTCAATCTTATAGCGGCCACAGACGTTCAATAAACCAAAGAAAGGACAGCAGTATTCGAGGACTGGAAAAACAAACATTTGATAAAGTCTTAGCTTCATTTCCGGAAGGGAAAAAATATTCGATATAAATCCACATGTCTGCGCGGCTTTGGCAGAGATTCTATCTGCATGAGACGATAAAGCAAGTTTATTCGTATAACTTAAACTTAGACCCTTCATGGTAAAGCATTCTGAGAGTGGGTTATTCTGAGAAATTACGGGACCAGGAAGTTTGGCAGGAGCAAAAGACATGAAACTACACTTGAAGGATGAAAACTCCATCTGCCATGTTGAACCCCCTCTGCTTAAGCGCGGTAAATCGGCATTCATTTTTTCAACAAAAACGTTTGGGGTATCCTTAGAATATGAGTAAGCACACTTGAGTTCATCGCCATAAGCAAAAGTTTGCGAATTTCCGAGTTCAGTTGAACTACTGTTGATGTAAAGAAGGAAGAGTAGCGGACCCAGAACCGTGCCTTGATGTACGCCACTCGTGATCGAGTGAGGTGTCGAGTAGCCATTACCGACCATGACTTTCTGATATCAGTTGGACAGATAAGAACTGATGAAGTCGAGTAGAGGCGGCCGGATGCCGAGAGCTTCCAATTTTACTAAAAGACGTCTATGGGGCACCTTTTCAAAGGCTTTGCTAAGATCAAAGTAGATAACTACCACTGACTGCCGCTCACTACGAAGAGAAGTGATTAGTTTGAGAAATGCCAGATGGCAAGTTTCGCAGGATCGTTCAGATAAAAATTCATGTGGATTAGAGCTCAGAAGCCGATTAGCTAGACAGAAGTCAGGAATTTCATAGAAAATTATCCTTTCAAGAAGTTTTGCCAGAGACGATGTTTTGAGCACCCCTGGATGTCCCAGACACCTTGCCTCCATCCAGTAGACACACTCGCTAATTACCTGTCTTAACCGACTCACCTGCGAGGTCGAAGCCATTCCTCTGTTGAGTGAGAAAGCGGACAGCATCGTTATGAATTTCATCAGTCATTGAGTCGCCGTTCTCTATGTCCGTACAACGTTTATCACCGACCGATGTGCCCGGTTCGAGTCCTATCTCTTCCACGCCTCGATAGCTTCTCTTGGTTGCACGCGCATTCGGTCGGTGGCCTACCGTCCAGCAGCCGGCGACATGATCGAGCGTTTTTGTCGCCAATTAATGATCGTTTTATGCGCCTCAAAGGACGCAGGGAACTGCCCTGACAATCGGCCGCCTTACATTTCTTGACATTCGCGCGGCACAGAGGTCAGAACCGGGGTACTACGCAGTCGATTTGGTATTTGGTGGCGTACTCTAACTACCTAACGAGATGATTGCCGCAACCTCTCTTGGTGCTGTCGAGAGTCCTGACAACTCAATACATCGTTCGCGGCAGTATTTGCGTTCACTTTCCCTGGCTCCGCCTCGAACCGCACCGACCAAATATCATACCAAGAAAGGTTATTGTTAATTGCGCTCACATGTCCGTTTGATGTAACCGTATACAGGAACCGCTGCAATCGAAAAGGAAGGATCGTTTCAAGTACTTGCACGCATTCCCCATACCTACCGAATAGTTAACGGCGACAAAAGGGATGTGGTCAGCACCAAGCCTGTGAAGGTTGCTAATCCGGACTAAAATCCCGACCTGTCTCGAGAGCAAATTTAGGTCGACCCCCCTCACAATGCTCATCCACCTTCCCCGCTTCTTCCCTTCCCTCCCTCTGTTTCTATATCCCGTCGATTTTCTGTCTACTTTGTCCGCTACCCCTAAGTGTAACCTCCTCATCCTCCAAGTTTTCTAACCCTGCGCTCACTCCGCCCGCTTTTTCCACCCTCGTATCTATATTACGCACAGTGGATGCCATGTTCATTTTCTGACCCCTTAGTTACTCATTTTTGGACATAACACTTCCTGCATCGTCGCCACACACCACTCTCGCTCCAAGCTAGGTAATGTAGCTGCCCGTTGTCACGATCCTTATCGCTGCCGTTTACCCATGCCCCCTCCGACTTGCGACGCCATGAAGTCAGTGGATACTTTTCTCCTCACCAGTCAGCCACAGTTGGACGAAGATCGAACGCATGCGCCGAGGTTGACACTTGCTTGATAGGAGCGCTTGCCGCAACTGCTTACGGTGCTGCATGAAAAATCTCTGTCTCGGTAAAGGCTTGTCCTTTTAACTGTCTTCACGGCCTTATGATTTTGGAGACTTGAAGTTTTAAACCATCCAACCTCAACGATTTCATCTAGTTGGTGACCGTGGCGATCCTTTCGGAATATCTATTGAATTCAACTATGACCGAGGCTTTGATGAACATACAAAAGTTCCCCTTTTCCATCAGAGTGGGTGAAGCATGAAACGCCCTACCTGTAGCGTTTTGACAATGTGTACCTCCTTTCCAGTGGACGTTGACTGAGCAGTGTTTGCTATGAAATACGGCTGCAACGATTCAGTAACGTTGATTTATGATATCCAACTAGTCAGACGGAATCAGTGGCAATCACATGTGCACTTGACGTCAAATGACATCGCTCTACTTTTTACTTGAATAGAACACTGTTTTAGGCAATTGCAATGCATATTCGTCTCGCCGCTGTTAACTCGTGGAGTAGGTCGACGTTGTGCAAGGTTTGACGTTCTTTCTGCGTGAGATTCATGTTCTTGTTAGGGAATTCGCCTATCGTCTTCAGGAAGTGCGTTGTAGATTTTCCCACACAAGGATTAATCATACACAGGCCGACTTTCTGCAGAGGTTGCCTGCACCTGCCAGTGTCGTGGTCTGGTTCCTCAAGTGAATCTAACAATGACATAGTTGTCTCTAATCTAGAACTCGAAGCTGATATTTCTTCCAAAAATAAAGCTTTTTCTCTGATTTTCGATCAGCTCCTTCAGAAGAATTACTATTATACCAAACTTCCTACGGTCAGCCGAATTTCGCCGTAATTTCGTGCGTGAATGTTTTCGCTGTCGAATTTTACAAACTTTTGAACCCACTCATTCTCGTTCTGCTCCCTCTAAGAAACTAACTAATGTCATGAGTGAGGTTTTTCTTCCTTTGTCTCTTCGCCATAAGCAGCAAAATCTCTCCAGTCGTTTCCATTAATGAAGCGATGTTTTAGTGTCGCCCCTGCTTTACTGTGCTTTTGAGCAAGCAATGAGGTTTTCCGGGGAAATAGGCTGGCCGAAAAGGTCAGCTTTACGGAAGACCACTTGCTGAATATCGCTAAGCATTCTTCCCGTACAATAAGAGTTCATAAAAAATTACGCATTCCATCATTCAAAACGCTGTCGTAAATCCTATAGCAGACGTCAGGCAGACAGCTAATCTATTCAATGTTTTCCTGTCCATAAATTTTATCAAACATTCGACCGCTCCACTTCAGAAACATAAAGGATTGGACAGTGCTGCCCTCGAGACTATAAATGTTGACCTTGGCACCTTACCATAGTCCCGCAATGCCTTCGGCAATGTCATAGTAATGGACCAGATATCGTCCCGGTCAGCATCTTAAATGTTGATGCATGTGGGATCTTCCCATCCTTCTTGTGGAAGATATTCAGTCTTGCTCTCGAAAGTGAGACCGTCCCCACGTCATGAAAACAATCATACATTTTTCTTACACGGAAGCACGGCCACTTTACGGAATTTGACGGCTTTCGGGCAGTAAACACCCTTCCACTGGCTACAAAATATTAAAGACATCGATCATAATATGATAATATACCACTTAGCCGAGAATGACGTACTGAGTGGAAGTTAATTTAGGTTCCTCGGAGCTCAATCTTGTGATTCCAGTCAACTATCTTTTTGATGATGTTTTGCGATCTACGGACAATGGGCTCGCCCTTTACACAGTCTATTTCGATTTTACTTAGGCTTAGATCCTGCTGATCCCACTCTTCTTCTCTTGAAGCTCCTTTTTCGAATAGGTGGTAAGTTTCAAAATGTCATATCTTATTATCTGGGCTCTCGCACATAGTAAGTTAAGATTTCCAATTTTATCTCTAGCCTCACACGCGTGAGAAGTGGAGTTATCCAGGGCAGTATTGATAGCCCACTCCTACTTTTTTATTGCAAGAATGTGCATGCTTTATTGTGGAATGGGGGGCCATTTATGTAGGCAGATAAGTTGGAAGTTGCCCACCGATAAAAATCGTCAGATCGATTCGAGGTGCTGGGACTCTCGCAAAGCGTTCTTTAGACTCTTGTCCATTGGTGCTACACATGGTGCTTTTTCATTTCTGCTCACAAGTGCCCATTTTTTGTCGTTGGCAGCGATTATATGCATCAACCAGGCGTTGACAGGAACGACATAAACTTGCTTGGTTTTATTAAGGACGTGGGGATATTACGCTCCAAGGGTATCAATCGTTCGGAGCATCGCGTTATGCTTGTCCCGAAAGCACACAGTACGACCGGGTTCGTTATGTAGAATTTTAAAACTAGCGACATTAGGACTGGCTTCCAGAAAATGTAAGCCAAATCTAGTCTCGAGTAATGTTCCTTTTATTTATTTTCCTGTGAAGTATTCATCGAAAATAAGTCGAACCGGCCCACTATCGTTTTGCTAAAAGAGTCTTAACATTCGTATACCAAAACTCGACTTTCAAAGGACACCATGGGCTTGCAAGCCTCGCCTACAAAAAAGGGACTGTTTCTAGCGTTTAAGCTTTTGTTATGTCGTATGTTTGATCCGCTCATTGCTTGGAGGTATCTTGACCACCTCGGAGCAACAGTCGCCCAGAGGTCTTTTTATTGCTTTCGCTGACATATGCGGTTAAATACCGTCACTTCTTTTCTGTTACCAACAGTACAGTCTGAAATAAGTTACCCAGAAGCATGCAAGTTCTACAAAAATACTATTTGTTAAAGCGAACTACCTCTCGCCCTTAGAATAACTTCGACATTTTTGGGTGCCAGATCTAGCGAATACATTCTCCGTAGTAATGGATTCCGAGGTCTTGAGTCCCTTCGCCTAGTCTTACTTAGAGATGAATGACACAAATTCTGCACTCCACCCCTCAGCGAGCATGTTCCTCCGCCGGCGGCTGACTACTGTTTATGCGTGCACCCTTGTCTGGTACAGAGTACTGATCCCTTGATAAGCGGTTGAGGTTGCATAGTCCTGCCTTGCTCGTGGCACCTATCCACGTCCTAGACTATCGTGACTAAGCGGGCTGCAGTTACCATCCTCCCGAACTATCCCGCTTACCTGAGACCAAACAAAGCGTATGGGCGTTTTTTTTCACTGCTTGGTGAATTCACAATGCACATGTATTGATGATGTTTTTGAACTGGCCTTTATTATTATTATGTTTAAACAAACTATCATTTGAATCCCACACTCTGAACAACTTTTACAATTTACTGAGGGCGAATCTACCGAATTAATCTCCAGTAGTAATGGAATTCGTGGTCTCCGTCTTAAGAGAAACGTTACTGACTCTGAAGTCCATCATCGTTGTTTTGTCTAAAATTTTTAAAGCTTCGGATGCTCCCCGTATCAACTATCACACTCGGACCGTTTTTAGTTCATCAGTCGCAGATTTTTTAAAGATTTAAACGCTCCTTATATCGGCTATCGAGCTGAGACTGGTTATAGTTTACCCACACCAGAAAACTGCTTTTACATAGGAAAACATTCGGCACACATGATAGGGAAGGATGACGTTCAATTTATTTAAAATTTGTGTCCAATCGAGAGACAGAGGTTATCGTGGATCTACAAGTTCCCTAACAATGTATTTTAATGATCAAGTTGAAACACTATTCAAAGATCCAGTGTCCTCTCAGCCCAAATTACGTGAACAATGAGTAAAAAGCACCTGGGAGAATGATTTCTCCATCACGTGAAGACAGCTCTCAGCAATATTGTGGACAACAAGATCATGGGAAACAGTCAACGAATAATGGAGTACGTTCAGTTTATTGATAAAAAAGAATTATTGATCCAACTTGCCCATACAGACGAAAGGAAATAAGCAACCGTCAAATGTGGGAAAGCC